TGTATGCAGTTTCCAGCAAACTTTAATTAATTTTTTTCTATTTGTGAAAATTTCTACGTTATTTAAAGGTAATTTTTATTATAGGCCTATAGACCTTACACAGCATTATTAATATGATTTTGGAGGTTACAGAACTTTAAAATTACTTTAAAAAATGGAAAATAATTATATCATTTGATTTCAAGATATTTTGTATACCTTAAAAATAATTAATTCTATCCCGGGATTTCCCGGGAAACTTTTATCCCGGGATCCCGGGACAAGCAAAAGACCGGGAAATGAGAAACCCTAATATATACTAAATATATTGTAATTACATAGAACATTTGATCGTTTAATGAGCAATTGTCTGTAGGGTGACTAAAATTCAATCATGTCTGCTTTACGTGTAAGATTATTCACAGAATTCAATCTTATAAGAGAAAAACACCTTCTAATCTGTTTACTCTTTGTATTCAGGACACACACAACGCTGTCAGCTGACTTTTGGGCTACTGTGTACATTGAATTTTGTCAAAAGATATGAGAGAGATATAATAAAAAGTGATGATAAAGTTTAAATAAAACGATAGAATCATAATCGTGAAGCTTTTAGCAAAATAAAGTATAAGAAACTTAATTTATCTTCCATTCTCTCAACTAACTTAACAAATTACCGTAGGTATAATGCAAATTCTGTGTTGTTTCTACACAGCTTCCATTTGTTAAAAATAAATATTACTCGAAATTACAAAAATAACCTAGGATTAGTCGATATTTTTAAGATAAAATAATAATATAATTAGCATAGGTGTAATACTAATATTCCTGTTTAAGGAAAATTCACATTGTTACGGTAATAGATTGTTATACTGTATTATTATAAAAGAAAAAGGAAAATTTTCCGAGGGGTGTTCTTAAGAAAATTGCCAAATTTAAATAATAAAACAATTTTTCATTATCGTTTCGCTAATCATTTATTGATCTGTGTTAACGGTTAATATGTATTTGATAATATGGCATCAAGAGGTACTTACAGGGAGGAAGCAGCTGATTTTTAAAGAAAGGAATTTATCTACTTATCACTTCCACTGGCCTCAAATTATAGTATAGAAGGTTAATTTTGTAGGATGATAAGCATTATAACTATAGCACGTGGGAGAAATCCTGGAAATAGATTAGACAATTTCTAACGAAAGTTGTCAAAAATTTTTAATTTGCTATCAAAACAGTTGAGTTTAACTTTAAAATATTTGAAAATAATCTTTTGTTTGTGAATATTCATAATCTGATTTTTTTAAAATAATTTAATAAATGTGAATGAATAAATGAATATAATTTATTCATTCACATGACGTCCTCTTTACAGAGGGTTTCAGTTGATGGACAGTTCTTCTCCAGTGTATTTTTTTTATTGTTACGCCTAGGTCCTCTCTTTCTCAGTCTGCCCACCATTCCCTGAACTTTTATCAGTTTCCCCGAGGATCCTTTTATTATATGCCCAGCATATGCTGTTTTTCTTCTCTAGATGCTGACCATCAGGTTCCTTTCCAGGCCCACTCGTAACCACCTCATTAGTTATTCTATCCATCCAACTAATTATTTCCATTCTTTTAAGACAGAACCGTCAGGCACGTCAAACCCGTAGTAGTGGATTAGATATTTGTACCTCGAAACCATAGTGTAAAATATAATTAGAGACCAAAAATGAGGAATGTAATTTCGGACATCCGTAGGGCAGCATTTGCACATAAGTTAAATAAGCCACGGCTTAATGCCTTGCGTTACGAGACTACGCATCTCTATTTCTCTTACATATGCTCTTGCAACCCCCGAAGGAAACCTTAATCAAACTGAAATATCGATTTTTATGTAGGTCAAAGCAAAGTTCTCCGGAAGACTATTCGAAGTTAACCCAAATTGTCGTAACGAAGATAAAATCGAAGTCTGTCCTCTAGTGTTTTGCAATTATGTGCGGATTTTTTTTTTTTTTTTAGCTTAATTCGAAAATTTCAGCTCATCGCCATTTTTGTTACGTTTATTTGTTTAATTTCTCCCTCTTTCCACACACGTCACTGCTATGTAATTCACGTACAGTACAGTACAGTACAGTACGTATTGTTGATTCCTGGCTGATGGCGCCATCTAGTGATCAAGACGGCAAACTGCTGCATCCCTAGCTAGCTATTTAAAACCCACGAGAGCGGAAAGGAATTTGAATATTGTATTATAACTTTGCATATTATAACTGAGTGGACTCGTAATTCGTTACGATACGATTTTTTTTGCGTAATCTTCCTATATTTGTCTAGCCAATCCGAACGCTGTGGAACATCTACCGATAACCGGATGAAAATCCGATAGCACACTTGTGTATTACCCATTTCGGTGCTGATACATACTAACGATTTCCTTTGGCAAAGGTTAGTACTGTACATTAAACTAATCATATCAATACGTTAAATTGAATTGTCGTGATTTCTCACTGTAGATGTAGTTTTGTCCTACTATTCGATTAATCGATTGGTGAAGTGACTGCACTTGTCGTTTTTTTTACGCGTGTAAACAGCTGATGCTGCTTTGTTTATAATGTTAATTTGATACTCTTTAAGTTAAATGTTAATGTGAAATGTATAAGTAGAATCTGAGGTATTTCAGAAATGGTGTAGATTTTTTTAAAAGGAAATTTATAGTGTCAGAGAGCCTCAAATTAGTGCTGTAGGCTTATTTTCGAAGATAGGGTATTAGAACTGTAACACGTGCAAGAGATAACCTTTATTACGATAAACTCGAAAAATATATAGAAATGTAGATTATCTTGAGGCGGTTAAGGATAAAATCCGACTAGAGTTGCGCGCTAAATTGAAAAACAATTCATTAAGAATTTATTATTGTGTCGTTTAAATTTAAAATTATTGTTACATCATTCACAGAAATCGACAATGAACAAAGATGAGCCATTAACAAAAATCCCTCTGAAGTACATCAATGGGTTTCCGTTTCCGGAACCGTTTCTGGATGAGGAGAAAGTTTTAGAAACTATCGCTTATCAACCAACCGAGGATGATATCTTTGTAACAACCTATCCTAAAAATGGAACCACGTGGATGATGTACATAATCTGGGAGATTCTTCACGATGGCGCACCACCACCTCCACCGTACATGATGATGATGATCGAGATCCCTTTCCTGGAATTTACAGGATCCAAAGTTATAGAGAAATTGAAGCCTCCGCGAGTCATGAAGACACACATGCCATTTAATTTAAATCCTTATAATCCTTCCGCCAAATACTTCTTCGTCTACAGGAATCCTTGGGATTGCTGCGTTTCTTATTTCCACCACGAGAGAGATATGGAACCTAATTACGATAGTTTAACGTTTGACGTATTTTACGAATGCTTTCTCAAAGGAGAAGTGCCGTGGGGTGATTTCTTCGATCACTTCTTATCCTGGTACGAGCACAAAGATGACTCCAATGTCTTCTTCTACAAGTACGAGGACATGAAGAAAGATCCCAAGGGTATTATTTTGAAAGTGGCAGAATTCTTAGGGGAGAATTATTTGCTCAAGTTGAAAGAAGACAAAGAATTAATGGAGAAGATATTGCGTCATACCGATTTTAAATACATGAAGGAAAATCTTCATTGTTACACTCCCCTCAGTAACGAAGGATTCGATAATTTGAGCGCAGAGGAATTATCTGTGAAATTATCAACAAAAGGAACTGAAAATGTAAAAAAAGTCGAATTTTTCCGTAAGGGAGAAGTGGGAAATTGGAGAAAATTCTTCAGCGAAGACCAAAAAGTTCGATTTCGGGAATACATAAAAAGGAAACTAACGGGAACACCCGTCGAAGGAACACTTATGCAAGAATGGATGAATATGGAGTAAGTTATAATCTTGAAAATCACGATTTTCACTAAAATTTCAGCAGTGCAGTGATTTCTCAAAATGTTTACGAATATTAATATATTCTGTTGTGGCAATAAAATAAAGATGTTGCATACGGTTTGTGTGTTTTTTTTTAATTCTGAAATTGCATGCACGTAAATCAGTCAGATCACGAAATATCACGCACGACAGCCGGATACAGAAAATATTAACGAGCGATAAAGATGCGAGATTGTTAATCGATGTTACTTATCGATGGTTCTTCGTGAATTTTATAGTGTTTTGAATGATTTCAGATATCGTTTTCTAACTAACAAAGAATTATTTTATGCTTCTCGCCAGTTTTGCAACTTTGGCATGGACACTTTCACAGGATGTGCGAAATTAGGGCAGATTTATGCACTAAGTGCACGTCTGAACGGCTCGTTAAATTGAGCAGCTGTAGTATTTAAAGATGTCTTTGGCCGGAATTTTTTGATGATTTGTCCTCCTAATCTGTAAATTAAAACTTTTTCATAATTTTTTTTTTGTAATGCCGTGTCGATGGCTTATAAATCAGAGTTTAAAGGTACTTATAACCATAAAAAGTTGTTCTTATTAAGAATGAGATTTCTTTAGTTGCATGCAATGACCGGTTCCGCATAGTTATGGTCATACTCATCCTTTTCTAACAGGCTGAATGATCCTGTATAGGATCGGTTTCTAGGATTGTACAAGGTAGAGCGGAAGAGAGTTTCCTCTGTTTAAGGTGGAGCTCTTTCCACTTATATATACTACATAAATCTGTACAAAGAATGGCACGATTATTAAATTAAGTGTAAGATTTGCATAAGCAGAGAGATTCACGATATTCGTGAAGGGTATATATTGTGTTAAGTAACACAAAAATCCGGTTCGTTAATGGTAAACGTTTAGTGTCAACAATTTAAATTGTTAAAACGCAATGGCGTTCTTATTAATATATAACCTCGAAAGAATTATCTCGTTTAGCGATGGCTTCATACTCACGAAAAGTTCAATACTTCGTAACTTGCCAAAAAAGTAAAGGTATATCAAAGGAATAATATAATTTGGCGTTGGTATAATGGTCGTATTCTTTAAGAAAATTTTACAGTAATTTATAATTTTTCTTCGCAGTAAAGCTTACTTGGCAGAACACACATTGCTATGGTAATAAATTAAATTGTATTATTATTATTACAAAAGATAAACGGAAATTTTCCGAGGCGTTTTCTTAAGAAAATTATCAAATTTGAATAATAAAACAATTTTTTTTTCTTATCGTTTCGCTAATCATTTATTGATCTATGTTAACGGTTAATGTTAGTATTTGATAATATGGCATCAAGAGGTACTTACAGGGAGGAAGCAGCTGTTTTTCTAAAGAAAGGAATTTATCTACTTATCACTTCCACTGGCCTCAAATTATAGTATAGAAGGTTAATTTTGTAGGATGATAAGCATTATAACTATAGCACGTGGGAGAAATCCTGGAAATAGATTAGACAATTTCTAACGAAAGTTANTATCGACGATGTAAGGAATACATTCAGTTTGTGCAATATTATAATTATTTAATATTAATTTATACATAATTTGCATTTTCAGCATGCCACCGAAGATGTCGAGAAGATGATTCTCGGTAACAAATGTGATATGGAAGACAAAAGAATGATCAGCAAAGAAAGAGGAGAATCGGTAATTTGTAGGAATTTTTTGAAATTTTAATGTCGTTTCAATCAAATTTAATGAGAGAGACTTATTTTAGATTGCACGAGACCACGACGTAACCTTCTTAGAAACAAGTGCAAAAGCAAATATCAATATCGAAGAAGCCTTTTTTCATTTAGCAGAAGCTATCTTAAATAAGGTGGTAGTTTTATTCTTATATATATTAAATAATACATTTTGAAAATGGTACTTCTACTTGTATTAAAAATTTAGTTTTTAAATTTATAAATTTCATTATTGTCAATATTTTTTGACAGCAAATGGCATTGAAGGATCAAACAGAATCATCTGACAAACTGCGCATTGCTACACAAGATAAAAATACGGGGAAATGCTGTTAGGTAAATAATTTCTTTAAAAATGTTATCAAAAAGTTTAAATTAAAGTTCTATATTTAAGAGAAAAGTAAATTTTTCCTGCATTATAATGCTCTTTTGAATTGTGTGCTTATGTAAGCAAATAACAGACATATATATATATATATATATATAAATGGCACAAATGAAGTTGTTAGAACCTTATCAGTGCTGTAGACCCATGCACACAGAACTAAAAAAAAGTGAAAGGAACCTAGGATCTTCATATCACCCTTTCCAAGATATAGCTTCCCCAAAAATCCAGAATATATTGACTGGGATCCAGGAAATATTTTTCTCCTTTGCATTAAACTTGCATCAAATTTATATAAATAATTGGATTTAACTATCAAAGATATTTTGAATTTGTACCATAATAGATTAGAAATAAAGTTGATTATATTAAGAGATAAAATATGAAAATTGATTTCAAAACAAAAATTTAATGAAAAAAATTAGGAATGTAACATCAATTAAGGAAGCTCTTCAAATGTAAATCCTATAAAATTTACTTTTCTCACTTTACATAATCTGGAAGCACTAGAATTCTTGCAAATCAAGTGTTAACAAGAGAAATAAAGTTAAAGATTGAGAGAGAATTGTTTAAATATATTATTAATTAATAACACAATGTAACTTCCAAATATATTTGTAATGCTAAAACTCAAAATATTGATTATTAAAATAATTTTATTTTTAATTGTAGCCCTTATATCGTGGCTAGCGATTCGGAATGTAATTGTGATATTAAAAATGCATTTAGAGAAATCTACGGTTTTTACTGGCTTATCGAATAAACGATACGAATGGACCCTAGACCATCATTGACTGATTGCCCCTGGATGTTGGCTTCTTACAGAAACACAGCTTCCTTATCATCAAATATCACGGCACGCTACTGCAGAAAATAGGAGAGTTACGAAGAAAGTAGTGGCAACATACCACTGTGACAAAATATACATTATAAAAACATGCATTTGCAGCCCCTCGATATAATCTACTACATTGACAACTTGCCAGATGTCTGAAGGTGCTGTAAACTATTAGAATAGCTGTTGATATCTGCAAACGAGTGCCCTATTGCTCAGATGATTGGTACTGTGTTTTAAGAAAATCGGTTCAAATGTTCGTTTGCAAAGTGTTTAGCGGTGCCATTTCTGTACTTGCATCCATCGTACTGCAATTTTGCAGTTAAAGTACGTCTTTCAACACACGCAACCGTGATCGGCTTGTTTCAGTCTCTGCAGTTAAATATATTATTGTCCATCAGCGATTCAATCAACCGGATGTGATGAGATTCAATGTCAGGATGACCAGAACATTCCACATCATTCACACAATCACGACCTTGGCAAAATGCTTTCACCCATCTTGCCACCTTTTGAGGCGTTAATCCATCAGTGCTTCATGCTTCTCGCAGTTCTTCGTAATATCCTTTAGCATATCTTTCGTCGGCCACCTCAATCTATCCATGCACATTGTTACCCGCTTTGAAAACATTAAGGTAGGGTGGTCTGGTTCGACACCACTAATTCAATGCTTCGTACTCGCCCCTCTTTAACATGTGAACTGATCCACCTGTGTGCACTGAACACAGGTGGATGTGTTCAGTGCAATATTATTTATCGATTGTTCTATATGAATTTTATGGTTTGGATGATTTCAGGTAATTGTTTTAACAACGAATTCTTTTATACAGAACCGATACTTCTCGCGAGTTTTACAACTGGATCATGGACATGTTAATGCCAGGATGTGGGAAATTAGGACGGATTTATTCACTAAGCTAAGTGCATTTATGGCATGACTCGTTAAATCGAGCAGCTGCAGCATTTAAAGGTGTGTTTTTGGCCTGAATTTTTTTTGATAATTCTCTTCCAACGTAAAAATTATAACTTAATTTCTTGTAACGTCGTGTCAATAGCATATAAACCAAGGTTTAAAGGCACTTATTCTTAATAAAAACCACTTTTTATGGATAGTTGCATACAATGACCAGTCGGTTCCGATAGTTATGGTCATACTTCTGTTTAAAGTGGAGCTGGTTCCATTTATATATACAGTACGAGTATATATGTATACAAAGAATGACACGATTATTAAAATAACTAAGATTTGAATAAGCAGTGTATACCATATTCGCGAGAAGGGTAAATGTCGACGTTAATAAAATATGAAGACTCTTTTATATAACTCGAATAAATGAAATTTGCTTTAAAGGTTTAAACCAGGGGTTCCCAACATTTTTGGTGTACCCCTTTTAAAAAATTTTTTTCCATCGATCCCCTTCAATATTAATTATACTATACTATATATTATATATAGGCCTAAATATATTGTTATTACATAAAACATTTGATCGTTTAATAAACAATTGTCTGTAGGGTGACTAAAATTCAATCATGTCTGCTTTACGTGTAGGACTATTCACAGAATTCAATCTTAAGAGAAAAACACATTCTAATCTGTTTACTCTTTGTATTCAGGACACACACAACACTGTCAGCTGACTTTTGGGCTACCGTGTACATTGAATTTTGTCAAAAGATATGAGAGAGATATAATAAAAAGTGATGATAAAGTTTAAATAAAACGATAGAATCATAATCGTGAAGCTTTTAGCAAAATAAAGTATAAGAAACTTAATTTATCTTCCATTCTCTCAACTAACTTAACAAATTACCGTAGGTATAATGCAAATTCTGTGTTGTTTCTACACAGCTTCCATTTGTTAAAAATAAATATTACTCGAAATTACAAAAATAACCTAGGATTAGTCGATATTTTTAAGATAAAATAATAATATAATTAGCATAGGTGTAATACTAATATTCCTGTTTAAGGAAAATTCACATTGTTACGGTAATAGATTGTTATACTGTATTATTATAAAAGAAAAAGGAAAATTTTCCGAGGGGTGTTCTTAAGAAAATTGCCAAATTTAAATAATAAAACAATTTTTCATTATCGTTTCGCTAATCATTTATTGATCTGTGTTAACGGTTAATATGTATTTGATAATATGGCATCAAGAGGTACTTACAGGGAGGAAGCAGCTGATTTTTAAAGAAAGGAATTTATCTACTTATCACTTCCACTGGCCTCAAATTATAGTATAGAAGGTTAATTTTGTAGGATGATAAGCATTAGAACTATAGCACGTAGGAGAAATCCTGGAAATAGATTAGACAATTTCTAACGAAAGTTGTCAAAAATTTTTAATTTGCTATCAAAACAGTTGAGTTTAACTTTAAAATATTTGAAAATAATCTTTTGTTTGTGAATATTCATAATCTGATTTTTTTTAAAATAATTTAATAAATGTGAATGAATAAATGAATATAATTTATTCATTCACATGACGTCCTCTTTACAGAGGGTTTCAGTTGATGGACAGTTCTTCTCCAGTGTATTTTTTTTATTGTTACGCCTAGGTCCTCTCTTTCTCCGTCTGCCCACCATTCCCTGAACTTTTATCAGTTTCCCCGAGGATCCTTTTATTATATGCCAAACATATGCTGTTTTTCTTCTCTAGATGCTGACCATCAGGTTCCATTCCAGGCCCACTCGTAATCATCTCATTAGTTATTCTATCCATCCAACTAATTATTTCCATTCTTTTAAGACAGAACCGTCAGGCACGTCAAACCCGTAGTAGTGGATTAGATATTTGTACCTCGAAACCATAGTGTAAAATATAATTAGAGACCAAAAATGAGGAATGTAATTTCGGACATCCGTAGGGCAGCATTTGCACATAAGTTAAATAAGCCACGGCTTAATGCCTTGCGTTACGAGACTACGCATCTCTATTTCTCTTACATATGCTCTTGCAACCCCCGAAGGAAACCTTAATCAAACTGAAATATCGATTTATATGTAGGTCAAAGCAAAGTTCTCCGGAAGACTATTCGAAGTTAACCCAAATTGTCGTAACGAAGATAAAATCGAAGTCTGTCCTCTAGTGTTTTGCAATTATGTGCGATTTTTTTTTTTTTTTTTAGCTTAATTCGAAAATTTCAGCTCATCGCCATTTTTGTTACGTTTATTTGTTTAATTTCTCCCTCTTTCCACACACGTCACTGCTATGTAATTCACGTACAGTACAGTACAGTACAGTACGTATTGTTGATTCCTGGCTGATGGCGCCATCTAGTGATCAAGACGGCAAACTGCTGCATCCCTAGCTAGCTATTTAAAACCCACGAGAGCGGAAAGGAATTTGAATATTGTATTATAACTTTGCATATTATAACTGAGTGGACTCGTAATTCGTTACGATACGATTTTTTTTGCGTAATCTTCCTATATTTGTCTAGCCAATCCGAACGCTGTGGAACATCTACCGATAACCGGATGAAAATCCGATAGCACACTTGTGTATTACCCATTTCGGTGCTGATACATACTAACGATTTCCTTTGGCAAAGGTTAGTACTGTACATTAAACTAATCATATCAATACGTTAAATTGAATTGTCGTGATTTCTCACTGTAGATGTAGTTTTGTCCTACTATTCGATTAATCGATTGGTGAAGTGACTGCACTTGTCGTTTTTTTTACGCGTGTAAACAGCTGATGCTGCTTTGTTTATAATGTTAATTTGATACTCTTTAAGTTAAATGTTAATGTGAAATGTATAAGTAGAATCTGAGGTATTTCAGAAATGGTGTAGATTTTTTTAAAAGGAAATTTATAGTGTCAGAGAGCCTCAAATTAGTGCTGTAGGCTTATTTTCGAAGATAGGGTATTAGAACTGTAACACGTGCAAGAGATAACCTTTATTACGATAAACTCGAAAAATATATAGAAATGTAGATTATCTTGAGGCGGTTAAGGATAAAATCCGACTAGAGTTGCGCGCTAAATTGAAAAACAATTCATTAAAAATTTATTATTGTGTCGTTTAAATTTAAAATTATTGTTACATCATTCACAGAAATCGAAAATGAACAAAGATGAGCCATTAACAAAAATCCCTCTGAAGTACATCAATGGGTTTCCGTTTCCGGAACCGTTTCTGGATGAGGAGAAAGTTTTAGAAACTATCGCTTATCAACCAACCGAGGATGATATCTTTGTAACAACCTATCCTAAAAATGGAACCACGTGGATGATGTACATAATCTGGGAGATTCTTCACGATGGCGCACCACCCCCTCCACCGTACATGATGATGATGATCGAGATCCCTTTCCTGGAATTTACAGGATCCAAAGTTATAGAGAAATTGAAGCCTCCGCGAGTCATGAAGACACACATGCCATTCAATTTAAATCCTTATAATCCTTCCGCCAAATACTTCTTCGTCTACAGGAATCCTTGGGATTGCTGCGTTTCTTATTTCCACCACGAGAGAGATATGGAACCTAATTACGATAGTTTAACGTTTGACGTATTTTACGAATGCTTTCTCAAAGGAGAAGTGCCGTGGGGTGATTTCTTCGATCACTTCTTATCCTGGTACGAGCACAAAGATGACTCCAATGTCTTCTTCTACAAGTACGAGGACATGAAGAAAGATCCCAAGGGTATTATTTTGAAAGTGGCAGAATTCTTAGGGGAGAATTATTTGCTCAAGTTGAAAGAAGACAAAGAATTAATGGAGAAGATATTGCGTCATACCGATTTTAAATACATGAAGGAAAATCTTCATTGTTACACTCCCCTCAGTAACGAAGGATTCGATAATTTGAGCGCAGAGGAATTATCTGTGAAATTATCAACAAAAGGAACTGAAAATGTAAAAAAAGTCGAATTTTTCCGTAAGGGAGAAGTGGGAAATTGGAGAAAATTCTTCAGCGAAGACCAAAAAGTTCGATTTCGGGAATACATAAAAAGGAAACTAACGGGAACACCCGTCGAAGGAACACTTATGCAAGAATGGATGAATATGGAGTAAGTTATAATCTTGAAAATCACGATTTTCACTAAAATTTCAGCAGTGCAGTGATTTCTCAAAATGTTTACGAATATTAATATATTCTGTTGTGGCAATAAAATAAAGATGTTGCATACGGTTTGTGTGTTTTTTTTTAATTCTGAAATTGCATGCACGTAAATCAGTCAGATCACGAAATATCACGCACGACAGCCGGATACAGAAAATATTAACGAGCGATAAAGATGCGAGATTGTTAATCGATGTTACTTATCGATGGTTCTTCGTGAATTTTATAGTGTTTTGAATGATTTCAGATATCGTTTTCTAACTAACAAAGAATTATTTTATGCTTCTCGCCAGTTTTGCAACTTTGGCATGGACACTTTCACAGGATGTGCGAAATTAGGGCAGATTTATGCACTAAGTGCACGTCTGAACGGCTCGTTAAATTGAGCAGCTGTAGTATTTAAAGATGTCTTTGGCCGGAATTTTTTGATGATTTGTCCTCCTAATCTGTAAATTAAAACTTTTTCATAATTTTTTTTTTGTAATGCCGTGTCGATGGCTTATAAATCAGAGTTTAAAGGTACTTATAACCATAAAAAGTTGTTCTTATTAAGAATGAGATTTCTTTAGTTGCATGCAATGACCGGTTCCGCATAGTTATGGTCATACTCATCCTTTTCTAACAGGCTGAATGATCCTGTATAGGATCGGTTTCTAGGATTGTACAAGGTAGAGCGGAAGAGAGTTTCCTCTGTTTAAGGTGGAGCTCTTTCCACTTATATATACTACATAAATCTGTACAAAGAATGGCACGATTATTAAATTAAGTGTAAGATTTGCATAAGCAGAGAGATTCACGATATTCGTGAAGGGTATATATTGTGTTAAGTAACACAAAAATCCGGTTCGTTAATGGTAAACGTTTAGTGTCAACAATTTAAATTGTTAAAACGCAATGGCGTTCTTATTAATATATAACCTCGAAAGAATTATCTCGTTTAGCGATGGCTTCATACTCACGAAAAGTTCAATACTTCGTAACTTGCCAAAAAAGTAAAGGTATATCAAAGGAATAATATAATTTGGCGTTGGTATAATGGTCGTATTCTTTAAGAAAATTTTACAGTAATTTATAATTTTTCTTCGCAGTAAAGCTTACTTGGCAGAACACACATTGCTATGGTAATAAATTAAATTGTATTATTATTATTACAAAAGATAAACGGAAATTTTCCGAGGCGTTTTCTTAAGAAAATTATCAAATTTGAATAATAAAACAATTTTTTTTTCTTATCGTTTCGCTAATCATTTATTGATCTATGTTAACGGTTAATGTTAGTATTTGATAATATGGCATCAAGAGGTACTTACAGGGAGGAAGCAGCTGTTTTTCTAAAGAAAGGAATTTATCTACTTATCACTTCCACTGGCCTCAAATTATAGTATAGAAGGTTAATTTTGTAGGATGATAAGCATTATAACTATAGCACGTGGGAGAAATCCTGGAAATAGATTAGACAATTTCTAACGAAAGTTATCAAAAAAATTTTAATTCGCTATCAAAACACTCAGTTATGAGTATAACTTTCTTTAAAATAAAAATTATTTTTAAATATACAAATTAAGGGTATTGTATTCTCTTATATAACCTATATGCATAAATTAATATTCTTAGAGAGCCAAAATGAATAAAGAAAGAAAAAGAAAACCATTTATCAAAATAGTACTTTCAACAAAAGAATGTTACAGAAGTCGAGCGATCAACCAACTGAAAATGATGTATTTGTAGTGTGACCTATCCCAAAAATGAATCAAGTGAATGATTTATGTAATTTATAGATCCTCGGGGCCGGATTTGCACATAAGCTAAATAAGTTACAGCTCAGGACTTCGCGTTATGAGTCTATAGCTTAGGTCCTAACATTTTTACATGTATCATTATTTAATTGAAGAGAAGGGCCTGTTATATGTTAGACTCGTCGTGGCCCTAAGCTAGAAGTCCAGCCATTGGAGATCTTTTACGATGGTGCATCATCACCGCCTCTTTTTGTGCTAATGCTGAATCGAAATTCCTTTCTCGAATTGATAGGAAATGAAGTTATATAAAGAAATTAAAGCCTACGAGAGTCACGAAGATCTTTACAGTTCTACTAAATATTTCTACGTCTACAGAGATCCTTGGGTTTGCTGCGTTTCCCGTCTTCACCACGCAATAGAAAGAAACCGAGACAGTTCAATATTTTTTGTTTTCTTAAAGGGAAAATGCCGTGGGGATGATTATCCGGATTACTCCTTATCATAGTATAAGAATGATGATCCTGACGTCGTCTTTTACGTGTACGAGGACATGAAAGATTTCAGAACGGATTTTATACCATGTATAATCTATGTGAATTATAATATTAACATTATATTGTAGATGGTAAACTCATTTTTAATTTAATGTTGTGCAATAAATTCATTTATTAACACTATTCTGTAAATGACCTAAATCAATCATACCATTACTACGACCTCATTATAGTACTGTACATGTTTTGACTTTACTCTCTCATCAGTCCCATATTTTCGGAATCATACGTGGAAATGATTGAGTAACGTAAAATTTCGTGGCATTTCCATGATGGGAAGTGATACATAATGCAACACAAACGAAACACAGTATTTTGTAGGCCTATATAAATTCAAATGGATATTTTAAATGTAAAAAGAATAGGAAAATGGGATGCTTTCAAAATAGTATTTGGATAGTATAATACCTTTTTAAAATATCGTAACATCATTCTCTTTATAATAAATCAGAATATTCTTACATTTCACAATAAAGAGCTTGCTGATACGAAAGGAATTACACGTCAGTTCTGTGTTGGAGACGTGATTACAACGTTTACGTCACTAATCATATTGATTAATTAACAAGGTCTTGTGAACATTATAACCTTAAACGTCAATGACGTCGAGTTACGTAATAGCATATGTCAAATTTTGCCGAACAACAGTCGGACTCTTGCGTTGTTTAGAATATAGCTAATGTTCGCGTTTAGAGTTGAAGCGTTTATAATTCTGACGATCTCCATTGTTTCTATGATATATTTTGGAGCATAGATATTCCTACCAGTACCGGTAGAATTTAAATATTCTTTAATTTGATGCATTACTCTTATCTAACTTCCACTTGAAGCTAGATAAGAACGTATGGATCTTCAGACCGAAAAAACTGACTTACATGATAAAATTCTATAACGAAAATATGGTATCATGTACATAAAAATTCCAAGTATATAAGGAACACAAGTTTCATCCTTCTCAAATATACGAAATTAAGTTATAGAAAATATGTAATTAAAGGTCGTAAAGTTCTATATACTCACCTTTTAAGACATAAAATAGATAAAGAATAAGTTAAATAGAATACGACGATGATGCGTAAATGAAGACGAAAATTATTATTGCAATATCTCATTTCGAAAATATCTTGTTACATTCTGAAATATATAAGCTTATGATTAATCAATTATTGCTTCAAATACTATTTTAAAGAAAATCAAGTTAGTTTTCAATAGATAATAATTATCGAATGAAAATGAAGCCGCTTAAATATAATAATAATAATAATAATAAATTAAACTTCTGAACAACGGTCATAGACAGAAACATAAAAAAAATGACCACTGTTTAGAGGTGGCCGTTATTGGTGGTTGACTGTGTATTGATATAAACAGAAATTTGCCTTTTTTTTTCCGTTTAAAAGAGTTTTCACGGTATTAAGCCCAGTTTTTAATTTGTTTCAGATGATATATGAATGCATAATCAATACGAAAAAACCTTAAATTAATAATCTTCAAATTTACTTAAGGTAGTAATTATTACTAATTTACATCATTATTCCGTAAAAAAAAAATACAAATTGTACTAATTTATTCTACATAAATGGGAATTTTAAAGTAATTCAAAACAACATCGGAATTTCTCAGTGAAATGAAGTAGGTTTGCTATATATATAGACTATATATACACTATTCACATATATTATACATGAAATTACAATGATACTTTATACAGATATATAAGTGACAGATTAAATGGGGACAAGAGAATAAATATTTTTTACATATTCAAAATATGTAAAAATATATAATATTTACTAAATGAATTATTCGTTATGATAAGCTGTTAAATTTTAGATAGTACTAAATCCCAAACTCTAACAGCTTGAAGACAATCTAGTAAACAGAATAATTCAAAGATTGTATACCGTATATAATGGAAGAATATAGTAGAATTATTTTAACAAGAAGCAATGTTTTCCTAGCTTCCATTTCTCAAAACTTGAAAAAAATGGGGTAAAAAAATATTACTACTGTGTAGTAAAGCAGTTGAAATTATAAAAATAAAATCACTGTCTTCGTGTGTTAAAGTTCACTCACTTATTTTACGATGTATTGGAATGCAAACAGTGCGATAATAAAAATGATCGTATAAATAAAACGTGTATATGTTTATTATACAATGATCTAAGAATGAAGGTAAAAAAAATGTCACTCTGATCCCGGCCAGCAGGAAACCATTAACTAAATCATCGTGTTTCTAAATATATATCGTTCTTCACCATGTCAATTGCAATGGAATTGGCCATTTTGTAAATGCAATTGTTTTCCATGTTAGTTTCCTTAGTTTCCTTGTTTTTATCGTAAGAATGGTGATTACACTGAGGTTCTTTTTTCTGATTTTCTTCGTTTTGTTGGTTACATGCATCGACCGGTTCGGCGTAAATGTGGCCATGCTCGTCCTTTTTTTCTTCAAACGGTTGGGAATATATAGGATCAGTTTCTAACGGTGGAGGAGGTAGAGCGGAACAAGGTTTCCTCTGTCTGGGTAGAGGTGGGGCCCTCTGTTCAACCTCTTCGTATATAGCTGTACTATAATAGTTGTCATCGTTACTAACGGTAGGGACAAGGAGGCCTCTGTTGTCTGTATTACGCACGGTTCCGATACCGACGTGGAATACGGGAGGAGAATTTCGGCTTTGGTTTCTATAGTAATTTATTAATCATATATTAATATTTATTATAAAATTATACTGTAAATATTGCTATGTAACTATCTTACCGCTTTTTAAGTAAGAATATTCCAATAATCAGACACAAAATACAGATGGCACTTCCAATCCCTATACCCATAGATGTAACTAAAAAATAATAATAATAAAGATTAGGCCGAATTAAGCCGCTTAAGTTTCAGAGGAGGAGAGAGTAAAACGAATTTTATCATACCCATCATAATTCCCGGTGACCATTCATTGGACCATATGGGATGAGCTACATTTTCTTGTATATAAAAAATATTTTGTTAGGCTCAATACGGAAAAATAATTTTTGTTTAATTATAAAGTTTATCACTCACTGATGCAGGAGGAAGAACTTCTTGACCAAGATCCGTTAGGAAGGCAAACCGACGATTGCACATCTCCGACAATTTCATATCCTGGATAGCATTCTAAGTGAACAACCGTTCCAACATTTAGAACATCAGTAGCATTAGGTTGTATCCATTGTCCACCATCCATGTCTGACACAGGAAATGGACTGCAAGTGACTTCTAAACGTTAAATTAATAAGCAATGTAATAGAGTTCTAATGGACATATAAAACTTAAACTTGCTTCAAACTACATTTTATACAATATTATTTTGCCTGAATTAATATTATATTAAATTATTTCGTGAAGTGAATCATAACAAAAAGAACCATTGATAGAAAAAACTGAATATTTAGGCTTTAACATTTATAAAATTACTTACCAACACACGCATTTTCTAAATCTCCCCAAGAGCCATCGTATTGGCACATAGGTAACGTTTCATTAGCAGGTTTATATCCTGAATCACAAAGTATCCTAATACGGCTTCCATAAAAGTTAGAATGATCCAAATATTCTATTGTTCCGTGTTTTACGCTTACAGGTTTCTCGCATCTTATCGCTGTAAGGCCATAAATTATTGTAAAAACGATTTACTTTTTGTTATCTAGATTAACAATGACTTACCTTCACATCTTAGGACACTTTTTTTCCATTGTCCATTTGGAAGGCATTCTAACCTATCATCTCTCCAAGGTCGGTAACCGTCGTTACAACGTAATAAGGCTACACTGCCGACTGTAACGCTATTAAACTGCAGATGTCCATTCGTTATAGAGAAACTTAAATTGCCACATTTAATCACTAAAAAAAATCAATTATAAACATAGCTTTATAAGTTACTTTGATAAATATCTTAAAATATATAACATTACATTTCTATAACGAATATAATTCCTAGATTTATGCAAACATTTTACAATATGATTTACGCTATATGCGATTGCTTTATTATTATTTTTAATCACAAAATTTCAATAGATTTAATCTTTCTAATAGAAACTTCATATTGAACAAATCAAAAATTTGAAAGATTCCTTTTACTTTTAAGAAAAATATTTTATATTTCCTACTTGAAATCTCTCTTCAGTTCATTTAATAAGCTTATATTCAATTCTACTTTTATATAAACTGCTGATTTTAAATACGGTCTCTACAAAAGTTAATTACAAAGAGTATAAGGCCTACCACATGTAAAAGAAAGAAAAGAACGGATACCAAATAGAATATACGAAATATACTTTTTAAATATCAAAATAAAGCTTTAAAAACTAATTTATCCAACGTAAACTTCAAAGTAAAAAGTTTTAATTCGATCAGGCCTAGAAAGATCCTAGGCTAAATGGTCCTGCGTATCGAACACATGGACTCCCAAAATTTTATCTTTGTGCAATGGCATAACGACAACATTTGGCGCCTACGGCAAAATAAAAAGTTTTTTTGATGTAATCGTATACAGGGTGTCTCAAAAGTCTATTTCGGTAACATTAGATTTTAATTTTTTTAAACGATATGCTTGCATAAAGCTGTGTACAGTACTTCTGATGCAAATTTGTGTATTTAAAAAATAAAAATTGGTTTTTCGATTTTGTTTAACTTTCCATTACAGACCCACATCACTGATGATAAACCTGGAAAAAAACGAGTGTTTGTGGTAACATGCAAGATAAAATGCACAAAACGCGAAACTTAGACACAATGTACTCAATACCAGTGTTGATGGACTTTCAGCCCTCTATAGACATTAATAGTCCCCATGTAAAGACAGATAAATAAATTTTGCTAATTCTTCGTGGTACTTACTCTAAAACAACTATTTTTCATGTCTTAAACCCGTTCGTCTGAATTCCCATTATTTTGTCGCAAAAGATATCAAATCTCAAGTTATTTTCCCCAAACTTTACACAATTATTATTGACGAATAAAACAAACAAAAAAAAACAATATCTTCATTCATTTGGTGCCTATAGATAGAGTCATATATGTTCTTTATGCCTTTGCTTTTATACAAAAGTAAAGACACAACAAAGGTAAGGCAAATGTAAAAGTAATATAAATGAATGGCTTTTTATATATGTTACTAGTTCGACACTGATACTGTTTAGGCTATATATTGTATAAAGCTCTAAAGGTTAATGTCCAGATACGTGGACCGTCATGGCGGCACTTCCTGTTTCAGCCTCGAAACCAGACGGTTTGCAGACGACGTGTCACGTGACGACGCGAGCGAACGTCGGCGGCTGTCATGGCGTTTCATCGCTGATCCCAGCAAAGAAAAGGACACAGTGGGGACGCACGTTCTAACCTAACCTAACCTATTCTAATAATATAATTGGTAATAATTATGCTAATTTATTAGAATAGGTTAGGTTAGGTTAGAACGTGCGTCGGTGCGTCACGTGACACGTCTGCAAACCGTCTGGTTTCGAGGCTGAAACAGGAAGTGCCGCCATGACGGTCCACGTATCTGGACATTAACCGCTCTAAATAAGCGGTGCCCAAACTTTACAATAGATGGACCAAATTGCCCAAGTAATAAATATGCTGTCCAAGAATAATTTGTATATTCCACATATATAAAAAGTATGCCTATTTCTACTACGAGTTTTTATATATATTTGAATGCTAGATTTGGGGCGGGGTGATAATTTGGGCGCCGCTACTCCAAATAACATTGCAAATGTAAACATTACTATACCACGTGTAATAAAAACATGGTTAGTAACAAATTAACCACCGTTGTTAACTTGAAAATACTTAAAATATTTGAATAATTCATAAGAAACTCTTAAAAACCCTCAGGAAACTTGAAAAAAAAATGTAAAAATTTCGTAAATTACTTACTTTAAATTATTGCTATACCAAAGGGAATTAGGCCTAAAAGTAATTGAATAAAAAGAAGTTAGGCCTAAGAGTAAATGGATAAAAAGACTTTTCTACTTAAAAAAAGTAATGATAATGAACTTGGTGTTTTTGAACCGTCACCGCGAGAATAAATAAAATGAATAAAATTTCCATGATAACGAAATTAAAACGTGCAAGAATTTACGAATAAAATTAAATCGGCTATGAAGATTTAATTGGGAGATTCGAAGCGGGAGAAACGCATTAAAATCCCACGACCGGTTCGAGAATATTCGTCTGCTGCGCTTGGAGATAATTATCGTCTGCCTCGGAAAAATTTCTTTAAATATAAAACGCATTAAAAAAAAATACAAATGAAATTAATATTTAAATTTATATTTAAAAAATTAATTTTAAGATATTAATCTTATTTAATTTAATTTCAAATTAAAAAATTTTTTTAAAAGGAGACGAATTTCTGATTATTATTATTATAATCTCGAACTTGGTTTAAATATTTGAATTTATTTAAAAAAAAACATGCGAGAGAAGTTTACGTTTTTAGACAATGTTTTTAAAAATATGGTTACGTGTTAATCCTGTTTGTTTTTTAAAAAATAATTATATTAATTTTAATTTTAGTGACGATAAAAATATTATATTAAAAAATAAATAAATAACAATACTCTCGAACCGAATTTAAATATTTGAAATTACAAACGCGTTCACGTTTCGAAAACGCATTTCTCATATGTAGACATGTTTTAAAATGTTTTTTAACATGTAAAAAAACTAGTAATTTCTTACCAACACATCTTGGAGTCTGTTGCGACCATATATTTTGCCCCAAACATTGCTTGGACGGTTCTCCCTTAAGTGTGTATCCGGCGTTACAACTATAATTAACGAAACCCCCGAAAGGAACTACGCCGTTGTTTTCGTCATATTTCACACTTCCGCCGATAAAATTAGTAGGTATGTGACAAAAGGCTACTGTCGTAATAATAAACATAAAAAAAAAAAAAATTAAAATGTGACCAACAGTAGCATATAATTGCAGGGGAAAAATAATAATTTAAAAGCTACCTTCGCATTTAGGCGAGTGGGGTCGCCACGTTCCGTCTTGACATGTCGAAGTGTCATTTCCTTTCATAACGTAGCCCCGATCACAAGAATAACGATATATACTTTCTCTACCGGATATTTTTCTACCCGTGCCATGTGCCGGAATGTCGGGTTTAAGGCACGGAACATCTAGAAAAAAATAAATAAATAAATAAATTTTGAAGCTGATATTATGGGAAAATAAGTTAAAAATATATTAAATATAATTACCACGTTTAATAAATATCTCCACCTCTCGTAATTGTAAGAAATCCGGGTCACTTAACTTGTCTTTGATGCGCACTCTGATACCAACGGCGAGAGGACAATAAAATATTTTTGTAGTGTTCGTTCCTGTAATTTAAAAAAAAAAAAAAAAATGGTTTAGTGATAATCAAACCATTGTTTCCGGGACTTGTATAAAGATTTACGAACCTGTGTTTCCTTCGAAGCTTCCACAAATGACACCATTAGAACTGGAATTCGTCACGGTAACTTCAAAGTGTACTATTTTTGCTAGAACCATGAAAACAAAGTTTGTAACTATGACATTATCCTGTTAAATTCTAAAATATTAATCTATTTACAAGCTATTATAGGTACTACGGGGACTTCTATTATAGAACGTAAAGCCCGTATCGCACGATACTCGGTATTGTATGAGGTCCGGATCAAGTCGGATTATCGATAAGCATACATTTGTGTGTGCCCGAAGTCCTAGACAAAAGCCTATAACTTGGCCTCTATGAAGTTTCAAAGCTTCATAACAGGCCATAGGCAAATATAGATCTGCGGGGCCTCTTTTATATAAATATACATAAAACTGGTATCACACGGTATTTGTTGGATTAAGAGTTTTAATATGCATACATTTGAGGCCTGTAAAATCACGAGGCCTAGAACAAAAGCTTAAGTTATCTGCGCCTATTATTACATACAGCATAAACTCACAAACTTCATGACAGACCATGTTATACTCTACTAGCTTTAAGTGAAGAAAGCATTTGGTATGCCAAATTGTATTCAGGCTTTTATCAGATTTAGACTTTCTTGAGATAAGGAAATATCTAAAAAATCTCTATAGAAAGTTATCAGATGTAAATCTTGAGATATTCATTCAGTAAGCGTGTGATGACCCTTGGTTGTTTTAATACAAGGCTATAGAACTTTATATGCATTTTTTTATATAAGGAAAACTATTATTAAAAATTGCGTATTATTTATATTTATTGTTCTAAAAATAAAAAAACAGCGATATAAAACGACGCTTTAAAAAAATATTGCCGCAGGGAAGTTTCATTGTTATCGACATCGGTGAACTGTTTCAGCTAGCAAAACAAGAATGATGAACTACATGGACGTCTACCGGTGAACAGCTGCTTCCAAACTGTGAGACGCGAACCCCCCTGAAGGTACAGACAGACGAAAGATACGTGAGTAAACTGGCAAATGTTACAACACTTCAACAATATTTAACGATACAGTACAATGGATGCTCGTGTAAAATTTCATTGAAGAAGAAAGTAAAATGTGTCAGTTATGTGAGTTATGTAACAAAGGGTAATTTATTTTCATGTTACAATATGAGAAGTTTATAAGAGGTATGAAAGATAGCTTTATCAGTAGAACGTGACTAGAAAAGTTTGTTAAACTAAGCTAAGATTTCAGAAGGGGCGTTTCAACGTAACATTAATTAATTGCTTTTAAAAAAAAAGAAAGAAAATAACGTTGCAAATTTTCATTCTTTTACATAAAAACGTTTATCGTAAATACTGGCACGTCTCGAAAACGTGTATAAGTAACGTTATATTAAATTTACATATCATTCGGGTAAAGAATTTATGATAATTTCACTTTACTGGCTATCTTATCTATCAAAATTAAACTTAATTAAACTAGTTTGGAATGCGAGTAACACGATTTCGGCTCCCTTTCAACAGTTTAAAAGGTTTGTTTAACCTTTTGAAACAGTTTACCATCGTCTCTTCTATATAACATTCCTCTTTAACTTACCAGTGGTTCTCTACTCACATGGATAATTTATAGAAAAATTCCTTCGTATAATTGAACGGCATGTGCAACAGGGTAAGTTTTCTAAAATAATTGGTAATCCGGAGCCGGAGGGAAAGGTTGACGAGAACCACCGGTCCAGAGGGAGATGTTTTACTGTGGTATGAAAGAGCAGATGTTACTTCACCTGTTCGGGCAGATGGATATAATTACCTGCAGGGAGAGTAACGCGAATGGCTTTGACCCTGGACTGATTGTTGAGAACGGCTGTCCAGTATCCCTTTTCAAATAAGCCAGTTGAGGAATAAGTAACTAGATTGCCGTCTATGGCTTTGTCTGCTGTGAAATTCCCTAAAGTAGATGACTGAAAAGCATTCTGGACGGTGATAGGTTTCTCTGTTTCAAGTAAAAAAAAAAAAAACAGTAAATAAAAATATAATAATAAGGATAGAAATGCAAACGGCATACTCACCACAGACTGGTATGTCGCCGCTCCAACTTCCATTTTCTGAGCAGACCCTTTCATAGGATCCAAACATTAAAGTACGTGGATCACAGAAATATTTCACTATAGAACCTGATTGATATTCAGCTTGACTCGGTACAAAATACCCATCGATCGGTCTTCCGGGCATTCCACATATCATGCCTTGAAATTAATATCAGAACAAAAAGATGATTGATAGGTGGAACGTTCTAATTTCAACGGAAGAAATTAATGAAATCTCCTATTTATAAAATAGAGTAGTACAGATTTTTTTTTTCGTAATTTAAGTGTTAAATTATTAATCAGGACGATTTATGATTTTGTAAGCTCGGTTTGAGAGCAAGTTATGTTGTTATAAACTACATAAAACATCCGGATAAAGTTAACATCGTGTGGTTAACTCGTTTTATTTCTTAGTTACACCTACTTTTATTGGGTGCATTAAAAGTACAGAAATATCTTTATAGCAATGACTACAACACTCAAATATTTAATTTCCTTTAAAAATTCTAATATTACTTTCTATCGTGTAACACTTAGAAGTGTATTATTACGCACCAAGTATGTACAGAATACGGCTTGACTGTTGCTATTTTATAATACTATAATTAATTTTCCATGCAAAATATGGCTATGGGAGAGCCAAAAAACTTAACTTTTTGTCCATATCAGGATATAGGATGAATAGGAATTCCAGGGATTGCATAATAGTCCTGTTTAATATATAGTATATTGAAACAGCGTGACTCCGAACGTTTTAAAAGGACCATTTGCTTATAAATGGCATCGCATGCGATATCTTTGTAAAAATACAATTTATTAACCTTGCACGCGAAGTAATTAACATAATTCACACTTATACTTATACTCTACACTTAATTAACATAATGCAAATAATGTACGTTGCGAAAAAATTGGTTTAAGATGCCATAAACTTAAAAATAGCTCATTTTTATGTATATGTAAATGTATTCATAAAAAAATAAATTAAGTATAAAATATAGCTAAAACGAGGAAAACGGATAGGTATATTTTCGCAAACAATTCACAGAACTGTTGTTAATAGCCAGAAGCAATTAGATAACAGTGAAAAGAGCATACAAGAATCGCGCGACGTTGCCCTTTTTTAACCACCTGTCATTTCCTTAATGACGTGAGTAATGAGCAAAAATGTAAATTTAAATAATTATTTTAAGGCTTTGTAATACTAAAAAATCGTACAAAACTTACCAATGACTGTTGGAAGTAGAGGTATTAAAAAAAACTCATATAGAATCAGATTCATCTCAAACGTACACTAATATATGTCTCATGTCTGCTTTGATCAATTTAACATGTCTTCTTGCCTTTTTATTTTGTTTATAACATGTATAATAATGTTTATTTTACGCTTTACTAAGATGTTCTCGCCTTTGCTCCTCCTTCCATAAAGAAAGTTAAGCAGAATGAGAATATTCGTCCAATAGGCCTTTGCTACTTTTGACAATCCACCACGTGACAGGAAGTTTCCGGTTTTGCCTCTTTTTCATGCTGAAAAAAGAAGGTGTAAAATTATTGGACAGGTTCCGACACCATTAAACTGCTAATATATATATTTTTTATTCTGTTAAATTAATTTATTTTGTTATAATTAACATATTTTCAAGTGCTTAAAAATACAATGACTTAATTAAGACGTTCTACATATAAAAAAATATATGTATTTATTCTTATAGATAATCGTCTGTATATATATATATTTTTATGTATAAAATAATAAAAAAGTTATGTTAACACCAAAACTTTTTAAAGATTTATTGTAAATATATTTTAAATTTCAAATTTAAAATTCAAAATAAATACTCGCGCGCTAATTCGTTAATTTGAAATTCAAATTTTGCTGTACTCGAATCTGATTGGAGGAAATTAAACAATTATTATTTCGAGGCGCCATTAGTCAAAATTAAAAACTGTTTTAATTTAAATATTTAATTATTAATTTAATTTTAATTTTTATAATATAAATTAATCAGATTTTTAAAAAATCTGAGATATATATATATCAATTTAAAAAAAAAAAAAATTATCGTAGGGTGTTTTAACGATTTTCAATCACATACGAGGGTCAATACAATTGAACTAAGACAGGAAGTCTGGTCTGATCAGGTGGTAGGCCTAACAGGAAATAGAACTTTGTTTACATCCTGAAAGGGAAGAGAAACTCGATTATGACTCATGATGGATTAATTAGAGATTTAAAAACGTCCTTGGTTGGTTCCTTTGTCGAAGAGATGTATAGATTCCTCCAGAAATCTTCAATCAGAGAAAAAAAGAAAATTTTAAAAATAAATATTAATTCTCTATTTTTCTGTAGTAACCATTAAAATTCAGATACGTAACATCCGGCCTTATAGCCAATATAACGCCATTAATTTACAATATAAAAACATTAGTTTCCTTTACAGATTTGAACATTTCGAAGATAAATAAAACTAATTAAGAAATAAAATTAATCTAAATTTTCATACATGAATATATATATAAAGTTTACAGTCAAACCTTAAAGACAGAAACATTAAAAACAAAAAAAATGGCCGCTGTTTACTGGTGGTCGTTATTGGAGGTTCGACCGTATACGCTAACGGTAGATTTAAATGTGAAAACATTAAATTTATATGCACAAAACGAATAGTTTGATTTATTTAGAAAAAATATATTACAGGCAGAATTAGTGGAAATATTTGCAAGCTGTACAATGTTTGCCTTATAGCTGTGTAGACATGTTTATCTTTCGCTATTTATTCATGCTTAATATTCTTAAAGGGAACACAACTTTCGATTAAGTTCGAGTAGTAATTTCCGAAAAGGAATAATAATAGTAAAAAAAAAGGCAGTTGTCTGCACCGTACACTCAATTCCGACCATTAATATTAGCTCACTGTTAGTTATTTTTATAAAAATAATTCTATGGTGTGGGAGAATTTAAGCGTAAATCATTTTTATATTCGAAAAGTAATAAAATATATTTAAATAAACTAAATCTCGTTTCGAAATAATAATTATTTAATTTCCGCCAATCAGATTCGAGAACAGCAAAATTTGAATTTCAAATTAACGACTTAAGACGCGAGTATTTATTTTGAATTTTAAAACTACTCGTTAACTTCCACGTTGACATAAAAAATATTTAATCCAATATAAATATTAATAATATGGTATAAATTAATATCCCTTACAGGAAAATTTAAAATAATAATTTGATAAATTGATAAATTCCTGAAGCATTGATAATTTCCTTAACCCCATTACAAAAAGCTTGTGATATATGATTTTTTAGATTGATAATAACAAGTTTAAACATCGTATTTCCGAAGTGGCTCCATCTAGCGGCAAATCATAAAAATGGCATTTTACTATAAATTATGGCTTATTTATTATTTAAGACGTTAAATATAACTTATTAAAATCTTTAGATACGAATAAAACACTTCTTGAGACCGTACACGTTGGATAAGGAGCAATTGTTCGACTAATCAAAAGTTGGACTTTTATCGATGAGAGTACAGGTATTTGTGGGTGGTTATCGAGTCGAAAGGAGATCGAAGAATATGGATTATTTACAAAATTTCTAAAGTATTTTTATAACTGGAAAGTTTAATTATGTTGTCGTTTTATCAGGATTTGACAAAGAAAGAACTTATACCCATAAAAATCCTCATGTTCCTCATTTATGGAGGTAAATATATTCTGACAATTGTGACGTCATCAGTGTTCTTATCGCAAATTTCTCTTCTGATATCTCGATGTTCTTTTATAAAATAATATTTAAATGTTTATTTGAACTTTTATTTAAGGTTAAGGCTTAATATATTTTTTTTTTAAAAATTATTTTAACGGGTTTTTAAAATGAAAATATATGCATATTTTTGTACATTTTACTTAAATACTGCTGAAAAAAGAAGGTGTAAAATTATTGGACAGGTTCCGACACCATTAAACTGCTAATATATATATTTTTTAAATAATAAATTAGCAATCATTGTCAATAATAAATAATAAATTTATTGATGTTATTACAAAAAAAAAATACGGGATTTTTAAGCGGTTCGTTTCACTTATGAATTGTAATTTTGGGTAAAGTAGTAATTGCTTCACTTGTATTCTTTAAATTGCTGAAATGTTTGTAGTGTTTGGTATAAACAGCTGATTTTATTTCAAAAAAGTTAATTCAGCTGCGATAAATCCGTGTCATCGCCCGAAACTTAAGTATAGTGTTCATGGAATGTAAACGGTTTTATTTTTATTCCACGTTAATTTTACATGTTCTTGCAATTTTTGGCTGAATTTATCATTTTATTATTGTTATTATACATTGTAAGAAGTCCTAGACAAGTGAAGCCCTCTTATATATGTTTATATAACATACATTCCACATTACCCGATACTTTACATTGTATAAAGTGTAAGATTTTATATACTAATATATTGAATTAATACCGAGTATTTATACTGTATATATTTGGGCCTTTAAAGGCACGAGGCTCTATAACAAAGCCTGTGTTGCTTAAGGCGCAATTGTGTAGATGAACAGCAATTTAATCTGAATTTTATTGAATTAAATTCATGAGTAAATTGGGGATAATATTACTTTAATTAGTTTTTAAATTAATATATTTTTTTAAACATTCATATCTTGTTTCTTATAATTGCTATTGTGTTTTTATTCTAGGCCAAGCAACACTCTATCCTTATTTCACAGTACATTTGAAGGCCTTAGGCGTATCGATTCAACAACTTACAATCATATTTGCCATCCAACCCGTCATTGCTCTTTTTGTAGCGCCGATGATTGGAATAATGGCAGATAAAATAGGAAATTTTAAGTTTCTATTCTGTTTTTTCTTAACATTTTCCGCCATTACTTCTAACTGCTTGCTCACCGTTCCTGAAATTATTCAAACGACAGACTATGGTTACGTTGATTTTAACTTTTCCTGCCATAACCAGGAAGGTGCATATCCTGGGGTGGAAATTGTAGTCGACCAATTATGTCGAGTTAAAAATGGAAGTAATGTGGAGTCGTTAGCAATTATTCAAAACTGTTACAACACATGCGATCCTAATGGCACAATATGTTTAAATAATAATGACGAATCGCTGTGTTCTGTAGATATGTTCTTCATAAATGGAACAATTAACAATAGGACGGTAATAATAAATAATTTTATAGTGTCAAACACCTCTTACAAATACTTCAAATGCAGCAGAGAAGAGTTGCAATGTGAATCATCATGTGTGGCGAGGATAAACGGAACCAGGGACTTTTGTTCAGGGAAAATGAAAAGAGACAAAAGCAGCGAAATGAAGACTTTCGGAATGTACTTGGGCATAAGATTAATGGTTACTTTAGGTATAGGAATTGTTAATGGCCTATTCGATGCTGCGAGTATGGCCCTCATATTAAAACACAGCGCAGACATTGGCTATCAAAGATTATGGGCAACAGCAGCCATGTGTTTATTTGCACCCATAAGCGGATATTTAATTGACTATTACAGTAAAGGAGAAGATCGTAATTATAAACCATGCTTTTATCTATACGCTACATTATACGGACTAGCTACTCTAACTGCCATTTTCATAGATATGAGCATGAAAGTTCCTTCGCAGAATGCCTGCCGAAATTTAAAAAACCTTCTTAAAAATTCAGAAGTCTGCTTGATGTTAATCCATGTGGCATTTTTGGGAATATGTTGGGGATTTTTAGAGAACTTTTTATTTTTGTTTCTGGAAAAAGATTTAGGTTTTTCTAGTTTACTACTCGGGTTGACTGTAACTATTGGTTCTGGAACGGGACTTCCGATGTCTCTTGTGTCTACTTGGGTTACTAAGAAGATTGGTTATGTTAATGTCATGGTATTAGCTTTTTTCGCGTATACAGTTCGTTATTTAGGTTACTCTTATGCAACTGATCCCTATATCTGTTTCATATATGAGATGATGGAAAATTTTACTGTAACACTGCTCACAGTTGGAACTACGTTATATTGTACGCACTTATCATCCCTTGAAATGCTGACAACGATGATGACTTTATGGAATGGCCTTCATGTTATTTCAGGTGAAATTAATAATTTATTATTATTATTATTTTAAACTACAGTATTCTCTCCTATTAAAATAATACAATTTTAAATTTAAAACACAGAATTAATAAAAACGACAATAGATGGCGCAACTTCAAAAATTTTACTTAGAATTTAAATTATTTTTAAATAAATAATATAATTTTTATTTATTTTACTTAGGCCGTGCTTTTGGTAGCCTAATAGGAGGATTTTTAATGGATTCTATCGGGCCGAGGAAGACATTTCGAATTTTTTCTGTCGGTTGCGCTATTTTGGGAATTTCCTATTTTTTAATCAATTTATTTTATCTGAGAAAATTAAGGAAAAAGGAAATCGAAAGTGATCTAGATAAAGAAATGGAAGGTAAATAAAACTAAAATAGAATCTTCCCGTTTTGGTGCTGCGATCGCTTTTCTGTGATAATATTTTTCAGCATTTGAAAAAAAAAAGAAAAAAACGATTGGATTAATTTAATAATAACTTTTTAAGATTAATTTTATTAATAAAACATTTTCCAAAAATTATAGTTTGCTTTTACACGAAAGCAAATTATATTAAATTTGCTTTTATGTAAAAGAAAATTTACAAGAGATCGTATGACGTCATAGACATTTCAAATTTTAAATTTTAAACATTTTGATAAAGTATTTATATTTTAAAATTTTTATTTATTAAATATGATAATGTTTTTTACTACATAATAATAAATAATAAATTATAACATACTTAAATTACCCGAAATTGTTCCTTAAACGAATGACGTCATATCGTCAATTAATCTTTTTCTTCAAAACGATCGTCTGCTATTAATATTGCCAATGACGTCATTAAAATAAAAAATGCCAAGCGAGTTTTCACAAAAGACATTTAATGATATTACGTAAAAATAAACGATACGAAAAGAAAATTGATAATAAATTTAATAAAACCGGTTCTAATATCGATAAAAAAAAAACAACAATGAATTTTAAAATAATCGTGACGTAAATACTCAGACGTCACGATTACTTTAAATTTATATACAGTACGTATACTTAATTTAAGATTAGAAATAATAATTTATTATTTATTTATTTGATTTTGCAGTTATTAAAGAAGATATTATGAGAAGTAGAGCGATTAGCGTTTCAAGCGTTATAATGAATTACTCCACTGACATTGCATATTATCCACCCGTCAATATCGCATCAATAAAAACCATATGCAGGAGGCACAGCCACATTCCATCCAAGACTCATAACAGCTTTCGCGATATAGAAACGCGTAAGAGACATAGCAAAAGTTTATCGTTTGTTCCTTCTTCCTCTCCTACTCCCGCTACATTCCCCGAAGATACTCGCCGACATATTAATAGAAGGTTCTCAGTGATGAGTTACACGTCTCAATTAGAAACTGTACCAGAAGAGTTATCGAAATCAAATACAGTGGAAGATTTCACCATTATGACTAGGGAAGAGCCGGAAGGGAGCGAAAATCCACCGGATCTTACGTCAAAAAATAATATTTATGTTATCAATGTTGAAGAAAACGTAACAACACACCTTTGATTTAATTAAAATAATTATTTTTTTCTGTCAAATTGAAGTTTATGTAACCTAAAGTCTAGGCCTACTTTTCGGGATGGCCTTTAACAATATATTTCTTCTTTACCTTGAAATTAATTATAGGCGATGACAGTGTCGTAACTAGCTTTTCACCTGCCCTGTGCAAGGTATTTTATATTTGGTTCCCTTAATTTTTTTTTTAGGGGAAATAATACAATAAATATGATAAAATGATTGTTTATAATTTTTTTGTGTACACAAGTAACGTACAAGATCATTTACGAGTATTATTTAAGTATATTTGACAATTTTATTTTTGTCAGTTCCCTTCATCCCGGGAGTCCTGTGCACCTGTTTCACCTGTCTAATTACGGCACTGGGTAATGCTGTAACAGTAAGCTCATATTGCAACGATCTTTACGCTAAATTCTTGATGTGTAACGTAATATCAGGAAGTTACTTTGAAATGTTGTTAGCATTATGAGTTATCGAACAACTCGTTTGCCTTGAGCCTACGCTATGATGATGTTATGATTTTTTTGAAATTATTATCGACACTTTTACACGAACAATTGAAAATTTAAATATCGAAAGACATTATATAAAGTTTAATTTCTTAAAAATAACTTTAAAATAAAACCACGAAAGGCCTGGAAAATATTAGTTACGCATCTTTGTATACCATTTTCTCTGTGATATTAATTCATTATACTTGTATACACATTTTTAAAAAATTAATAAATCGATTTATAATGTTGAAAATTAATAATAGAATCGGAATTATAATTTATTTAAAAGAATAATTTTTACTCGTAAAAATATGACAGCAATATTAATTAAATGTCGAGTAAATGAGTCACGTGGTCATTATACGTGCCAAAAAAGTTCGTATTTCTAGTATATTTTTATGTAGAATTTTCGAAAAAATAAAATATATATATATTTAAATAGATAAACTGTGTAACATAAATTATTAAGTTAAAGTTTATTAATGTGTGACGAAACATATTTTAATCAGTCTGGATGAATTAATAAATTGTTAAAAATTTATCAAGTGCTGTTAATGTTATTCTATTTCATCAGCCAACAAAAACATCCTGTAATAGAATCTTCGTCCTTGATTAACTAACCTACATACTTTCTATAACACATTAAAAAAATTATCCAACATTTCCATATCAATAAATTACGAGCGTGACGTCAGATATGTGTAAAAAATACATATATATATATATTTTTTTATAACATTAATGATAATTAAAATATATAATGGCAATAAAAGGTTATAGAAAAGTTCTTCAAGTATGTTAAAATGGGCATTTCGTAATTAAGAAGACTATCTTGTTTGTTTAATTTAAAATTCAAAAAACGTCATCGGCAATCACGTGATCTGGTGTCGCATTTAATTAAAATTTAACGAATAATGATATAATTTAATAATTTAAGATAATAAAAACGAATTAAAAACACGTTTAATCTTAGATTATCAGCTGTAGTCACGATACATTCAATACCTGATCAAAACAGACTTTGATTTATTTATCCAAATCTGCCGTGGTATCGATCGGTTAATGTTACTTTATCAAATTACGGGATTAATACGTAAAAAACTCGAGAGTTTAATCGACATTCGTTTAATTCTTTTTTTAAAAGTTTCCACTCCATTTTTAAAAAATTCGGCCATCCTATCACGTGATTGGTCATAAATCACCGACTGACGAAATCGTTATGGATTCTTACATTATCCGCCGATATTAATATTTAACGATTGCATAAACACGTAAATGCATTTTACTCGAATTATCGATACGCTTAATGCAATTAACCGTAATTATTTTTAACGAAAAAAAAAAAAAAAATGAAAACCAAACGATATTTTTGTTTATGTAGTGCGAGATGGCACGTGCATCTGGTGACTTTGAATTTAAATGGAGGTCATATCCTTCCGCATTTTAAAAGTGAATTTTATATTATAACCTACGTAAGGTGAATAGAAGCGATGTTTTAATATTTCTTCGATTAGAAATAACAAAATTATCTAAAAAAGAATAAAAAATTTTTATAAATTTGCTTGGCGTTTGTACGAAATGTAAAATAAATTTTCTGGACTACTTTTTTGTAAAGGGGTGGTTACGTAGCGATTCGGTCTGTTGTTATGGCAACAGCTGAAGTGTCGTTCGATCATTTCTATGAGGAGTTCCTTCAAGTGAGTTGATTGCTTTCAACAGTTTATTATTTTAAAAGGTAAATTAATTTTCTCCAAGATGCTTTTATATTAAAATGAATGCCTTTGTATTGTACGATTGAATCTTTTATAGCTCTTATATTAAAATAAAGTGTAGAAATTTTATATGATTAATGCAAAAATTTCTAATTTATGTTACTTTATATACTTAAGCTCTTAATATTAAATTTTAATAATACAAAATTTCGCTGAAATTGCATTAAAGTGTGACATGTTACATCAGTTTTGTATTGTCTACTCAGTAAGAAATTCTAGAATGTTCCACAGGTTCAATATATTCAATACAATTTTACAATAGGAGCAATTGTAGAATTATACACCAGCAGCAATTCTACAGTTATACACCAGCAGCAATTCTACAGTTGTACACCAGCAGCAATTCTACAGTTGTACACCAGCAGCAATTCTACAGTTGTACACCAGCAGCAATTCTACAGTTGTACACCAGCAGCAATTCTACAGTTGTACACCAGCAGCAATTCTACAGTTGTACACCAGCAGCAATTCTATAATTATATATTAGCAGCAATTCTAAGTTATACACCAGTGGCAATTCTACAATTATACATTAAGCTCTTAATATTAATTGCAATTGTAGAATTCTATACTAGCAGCAATGCTACAGTTATACAATAGCAGCAATTATACATTAGAAGCAATTGTAGAATTATACACTAGCAGAAATTCTAATTCTTATTTCAATATTTCTTTCAGTTTAATGTTGTATTTCGTAAAAAAATTCTCCACGAAACATCTTGCAGATCGTTAAGAACATTTATCTATGTTTTCAAATGAATTTTATAATGGATGTTCCATAATTCTGCTCCCGTAGGAGTACTACTGATCTTAGTTTTATTCTTTTTATAGGTAAAGCCTGATGCGGAGTAAGAAGGAACGAATTCGAGTTGCTTGGTGGGGGGACCCGCAGTCTGCGAGAAGTGGTTGCAGAGTTTAATTGGCTGCGTCAAGACTTCTCGCCATTTATGCACGATGGTCTCGATGCAGCCTGTTAGACTTTTTGGTGATTTCTTGTCGACTGTGGGTCCTTGCTTTCAAAATAACTTTAATTTGTTCCTTCTTATTCTGCATTATGCTTTACCTGTTAAATAATAATACAAAGATTAACTGAACTCCAGGGCCAAAATTATGAGATACTTTGTGTATTGAAACCAATGTAAAATGTTAACTCCATCTACAAATATTAAGCTAAACATTTGCTGTAACAAATTGGGCTACTTTACCACTACTATTGATAATTAAATAATTAAATTAGCCTGGTTCATAACGTAAGTAGTTTGGCTTAGTGTTATATTTAAAAAAAATATAATTGAAGATGTAAACAATAAACTGGCAATTGCAATTTTGACATTTGATTATGCCCATGCTGTGTAGTTTTATGGCCATGGTCACTTCCTCTTAAATAATAATTCGCACTTATTCAGTCTCGCAACTCTTGGTAGAGATTAGGTGGGTTCTGGGGACTGGTTTTAAAATTCTTATCTTCTTTTTACTCTTTCTCTGCCTTAATTCTATGAGTCAGATCAGAACAGACTTGGACTCTGTTCCACTCTGTCTGCTAAAAATTAAAAATTTAACATCTGTATCCAACATTAGATTCAAACCTGTCATTTGAAAAGTCAGAACAATAACATCTGTCACCTGTTTGGCACATATTATTAAAGTATAAATGGTTCCAAAGCTTTTATCTATCTCTTTCTAATATATTTATATACGAAAAATAATCTGTTTGCTTGTTCCCTATGAACTCTAAACCCTTTGAGCAGTGCCATAACTAGGGTGCACAGGCCCAGACAAAGAGGGCCTTGAAGTAGGGTGTCAAAAAATTATCAGTATTATATTTTTATTTTCAAATTTTAAACAGAAAATGAGGGAATTAAAAATAAAATTTTGAATGGGTCACATGAAAAGCTAGTTACAGCACTGCCTTTGAACAATCTAGACAGAATTTTTTATAGTAACTCTCAAGGATTCTGTGTAAAAATAGGTTACCATGAAAACTGGACACCCCACCACCTCTCCGATTTCATCCCCTTGACATTTCATGATAGTTTAATTTTAGTGTATAATTATATAAGCAAGTATTGCATAATAATAAACAAAGGTACAAGTTAATTTTAAAATATTACTAGCTTAAACTACCAATGGCTAGAGGGCAAAACTGTCAAGGTATCAGCCTACTGCTCTGAGTGAACTGGGATCAAATCCTGACAGGTTGTAACACTCAGGAAGTTTTTTTTAAGGAGTGACTCACAATTTGACACCCCATTGTGGACCTGGCCAGATTAATAGGGTGGAAAGGACCAAAAATAAAACTTAAAACTAGCTGATTTTGACTGGACTTATATCCAGAACATCAGCATTTTGGAAATGTGAAAATTAAACAATACACATTGAAATTAATTTATGGTGATATGTAATTTAATAATTTATGTAGTGTATCACTTAGTGTATCAGAGCAAAGTACATTATATACATTTATTATTGCAACATGGTAATTTCTTATTCTACTCTGTCGTCTTTAACACCTGGATCCTTCTTTAAGCCCAAGTAATGAAGGGTTTTATGCTAGTCAATTACAGTATAATTGTTAATCTTCAATGTGCTTAAGAATTGATATAATTATAATTGATGATATATGCTTAGTGATTACTAAATGTCATTTCATTAGATAAATTAATCTTATCAGCTTAAACATTTTATTTTTATTTAATTAAATGAATGCTTTTTGTCCATGTTTATGCATATTATTCATGTTGATATCATATTATTCAAGTGAAAATAAGTTAAATTTTTTTATTAGGAAATTATAAATAATTAATTTATCAAGTGTAAAAATGGAAAGAAAGAAAAAGTGTAAATAATGAATTATAATTTAAATGCCTTTGAAGATGAAGCATGTTTGGTTTGAAAATATTAATGTGAAATTAACTACAAAATTATTTTCTTTCTGTTAAGGTTGCAATATTTTATATAAAATTGGTGTTTAAGAATTCAATTTAAAACTAATAATAATGCAATTTAAAAGATTTATATTATGTAATCTGTACATTAGAGTAATGATATTTCATGAATTTTTACTGGAAATATCTATAATAGGTATGATATGGATATCATTGAATTTATTATTTATTTCTACAGAAGTAGTCACTAAATTAATTTATGAGTTTCTTTCAGAAGTTTGATAAATGAACTTAATATCAAAATTTGTGTTAAAGTTACACTTAGATGATTATACATATTAGCTTTAATTAACAATATTGGTTTTTTTTAGCTGGTAATTTAATCGTTAAATTAAAATTCTTTAAAAATTAATTTAATTTTAATGGACGGATTTGTAAAATGCTTAATTTCATCCCATTGTAATTTATAATTGAATTAAACAAGAATGACTTTTCGGTCGATAATTATTTATCGCCGATTATATAATAAGCGTTAAATCAATTTGAAGTTGAATTTGAATAGATAAAACATGAGTAAATTGATTTTAAAATAGTTTTTGTTTTTTAAAATTAAGCAAAATATGTTTATAATAAACCTTGCTAACATAATCAGCCCTTTCTGTATTTTATTTCAAGATAAGATATCAAATGAAGAGATGAAAAGATAAAAATAACTTGTGCACTTTTGCCAAAACACTTAAATTCAATGTCATTAAAAGTAAGGATAAAAAAAAAAAGTCTATTATCTATTTAAATGTAAAACAAATGCACTGATTGGAGGATAGTTAATTAATATTATATGTTTTATATAAGTTCAAAGTATGAAATTTTTCCATCTGAAATTCCTACTTGCATCCTGTTTATTCGCGTATCAAAAATTTATTGCTTGAGTCATTATACCTAAATAAAGGCAATAAAATGTTTTCATTATTATACAATAAATTATTAAAGATTAACTTTTATTATCTTTTAAACATTGTTTATAGATATTTCTTCATAAAAACTGATGAAATAATTCCGTTTTATTTTTTAGATATGGAGGCTGTGTTTTAGATATTACTTTTAAATGAGTGAAAGTATTGGTTATACATTTGGATTTTCCAAGAAAGTAAAGAAACAACGATGGAAGAGTTGGTGGAAAAAGTCGGAGAGACATGGAGCACACTGGATTCTGCCCTCAGAGATGACTGGTTTGATATAGATTCATCTCGTAAACATATCACTCAAGTTAGTATTCTGTTATTGTACTTATCAAACTTTATTGAACAAGCAACTGTATAATTTATAGTTCTTATCTTATTCTTATTATAATTTAAAAACATCATTACTTTGTTACACAACTATAAGTTCTCTATTAAATTCTAAATTTGCATGAAATTAACATAAATCGAAAACAATATTTTTATGCACGGCACAAAACAGTCGCAATATTTTTTTATGCTTTCATAACAATAATAATCAAGGCACAAAATAAAAACAATATCTACTATTGTAAATTTTATGATGGCGCATATTGGAATTACAATATTTTTAATATTCAAATATGCTGTAAAACATGAGAGCAATCTCAACAAATTTTGTATTAATAATTTTATATTTTTAATGTAATGTTATTGTTAAAATTATTTTCAGGTTGATAAATTCTTTGGAAAAAAAACTATATACTGTTCAGACAAAATAATTCACATAAATAATATGCTTCATTAAATGAAAAGTTTTTTTTAACAATTACCATATTCATTTTAATAAATAGTTCAGCTAAAAGATGAATAAGTTATAGATAGCATGCTGTTTATTAGAATAAATATGGTATATTTTATATTCATTATATATATACAAAATAGACTGTGTTTATTCTAATAAACAGTACACTGTCCAACTTTTTTTTTATCTCGCAGCTGTGCTGTTTATTACATCAAATGGGATAAATACCATATTTATAATTTCAGTTGAAAATGCTAAATGTTATAAAAGAAGTGAATCTGTGTTACATAATTTTAACGGTGTCATTCATGAAGCTCGTTAAAGTAAAAAATTTGAGAACATTAGATTTACATTAGATCAATGAAAGCTGAAATAAAAGAATGAATAGTGCCAAGTGATCGTTATTACGCTACATTGCGTTTATAAAACAAACTAGATTTAAATAACTTTTTTTGAGCATTGAAAATACAGATTCTAGATGATATATTATATTATATGCAATTTCAAATTCTCCAACTTTTTGTCATAAGATATGGAGTGAATTTTTATATGAGCAATTTAGAAAAAATATTATACATTTAGTAGGAGCGAGAAAACTACATTTACTAGCATAAGATGAAAAGGTAACTACTCTGCTTTTGATACAAGGCACTAACTAGATCCACCAGAATGAAATGCTCATATTTATGCAGTATTTTATATTAGAATTATTTCATACGACTTATGGTTATCAGCCTGATGTATTTATCTTATTTGTTTTTCAATATTAAATAATTAATAGTGTAAATGTTGACCATAGCATGGTATTATTATTCTTGTTTATATCAATAAAATATAATAAATTATGTTGAGAGCCCTTACTAATATGGTTAAAAATGCTCATTTCAATGATAGTGATCTTTCAAGAATATTTCATTAGAATTTCTGTGTGTGTCTCTCAAAAATATTATTAATTTCCCCCTTAAATTATAAGTAATTCTAATTAAATTATAATTGTGTCTTAGGAAAGCAACATATTTATGACATACTATATTATTTACAATAACCTCTTAATATTTAGAAGTAAACTGTTATGAGAGAAAGATATAATAAAAAATTATTATTATTATATCTTTTAATTTATACCGCTAATTTAGGAAGCCAGAGTGGATGAGATCAGCTGTCGGAAATGTTTTCAGCTCTATAGAATTATCATTAGCTGAGAAGCTTTTTGCAAACTTCCAAAATATACTAGTGAAGGGAATATTCAAGTAAAAAGAATTTTTGAGTATAGCAATGCATTTCATCATTGCTGTGTTTAAAAATGTTTAATTTGACTAAATATTTTTAAGCTGTTCAGCTTGTATTACATATGTATATGTTTCTAAATTTATGAAAAGTACATACAAAACTATATATATCTGATGCATGAATACAAATAGCAGTCATCTCTGCTTATAGATGAACTTAAAATGTTTTTGGTATAATACAAATCAAATGATGCCAACATCAATGCTGTAGTAATATCTATTTAGAAAGTAAAAATTTTTAACATAAAGATTACAACTTATGGTTAAATAAATAAATAAATTCACTTCAGTATTTATCAGCAAATGTTTTTGGCCTTATTCAAAGACCTTCATCTGACTGACTGATAACAACAATCTTTTAAATACAATGGATGGTCCATATTTCATTGTACTTAAAAGATTGTTCTAATCTGCGGAACAACCCGATGAAGGTCTTTGAATAAGACTGAATACATCTGGCTGGTGACAATTTGGCATGATACTTGAAGTAGCATTGGACAGTATGAGTAATAAATGAAAATAACACTCCAGTCTGGTTGTATTAAAAAAAACTTGAATCAATTTAACATGTGCCCGATTCAGCTCAATGTGCAGACAGATTTATTGATGATATTACTAAAAAATTAAACAAATAAATTCAAAAATTTTTAAAATACTTTTTGCTTTTATATTTTTAAAATTTTTTCTGATTATATTCTAAATAACAGATCAAACAGAGAATGAATCTGAAGTTATAAATAATAGTGAAAACATTGTTTAATTTTCTAGATTTATTTGAGTAATGTCATCACTGAATCTGTGGATATATTGAGCTAAACTTTGCAACAAGAAAGAATTTAATGTTTACAATATATTCATGTGAATCATACATTAAATGTAAAAAAATTTGCCCTCTGATAAATTTTCTTTATTAGGAAATATTATTAATATAAAGCTAATATCAGCAATATTTACCAGATACAATGTCTTATTTTCGTAACCACCAAAAAGGGGTTTGTAGTCAAATAACTGTAGGATTGTAACTATGATTGATGTAAGGTTACTAAGAAAAATCAAAACTGTCAGATTACACCTATATCTGAGGAGAGATTGGCACAAACTCCAATCCGAAATGCATATAAATAAAGACGTGTGAATTAAAATTGTCTTCTGAGTGGTTCTTGACTTGTGGTGAATGTCTATTAAACAAATTATTTAACCTTTTAATTAAAAAGATTATATATTTGTTTTTACATTTTTTTCGTTCTTTATTATTTTTACTAATCTTGCCATTAGGAATACTTTATTGATTATCCTCGCATTGCATTTGGAACAAAACAGCAGTTAACATTTGTCAAAAATCTGTGACTTGCCATCAAAATTCCTGACTTGCAAACTTTGTGGGCATGAATCCAATATTTCATTTCAATTGCTGCTCTGTCTCTTGTCAAAATCTTGCAAAAAAAAAGAAATGGGTTAGCTGTTCATGTATTGTGAATGAAGCCTATCAAAATCTAAACACACAGAAATTAATGAACAGTTGACGTTATCTTTTGATTCAAAAGCAAAATTTGGACAGTTATGCAAGCAATTATATAAACATTTGTAATATTAATAAGGTGTTAATAAATGCATAGAAATAATTTATTCTGATATAGCACTTAGTATAATGTAAATAAATCAAGGATATTTATATCTGTTGGTATTCTTATCTTGCTGATATCTGCAAATATTATTCGTGTAGTTGCTGCAATTTCTAAGCTTCTAAAGAAAAAATTTGCAAAAAATGTAAATCATGTAGAGCTTGAAAACTGATGCCAAATTTAATGTGTATTCTATGCTAATTTTAGCTCATGTTTTTGATAGAAATAATCACTTGCATTTGCCAATTTATCTAATCTTGTTTACGTTACAGCTATTTAGCACAAGGTAAACTAAATTAGGAGATTAAATATAATGTTTTATTAAACGCGTGTACTGTAAAATTGATTATGCAAGAAAATCACAATCCTTTTTCATGACTTTTATGAAAAACATAGATTATTTTAAGTTTAAAGTGAATATTTCTTACATTCATTTATGAGAATTCTGTTTTTAGAATATGATGTAGTTGCAACATCTGGATGTAGTTAATTCATTGAACTCCATTTTTTTGTTTGAAAACATCTGGTTGCTTAACGTGTATTGGTTTTGACTAAATTCTAATAAATTTTATTTGAACTTCCTTTGGGTCAAAAATCAAATTAATAAAGTTTATAATTTTATATCAGATTATAATTTCTAATTTAATTTTGAAAATAAATTTGAATTATCATGAGAGTAATGAGAAACAACTCCAAATTCTATAAAACATAACCAAAAATCTGTTTAATTGGAACTCGTAATAAGTTTTCTTAGAATTGATTGTTTGAAATTACTTTCATAAGGGGTGGCACAAGTGAATCGTCTTACCTAAAGTCACCTAAGTTTGTTTCTGTATCATCTGGTTGTTGTGCAATCTAAGACCACTAACACCCACTCTTAACTACTCTATCTCCTAAGAAATTATTTGACACCTTCATTTCTCCCACACGTTGGAGAAATGGAAGGTTGAAGTATGACACTTCATACTCTCCACAGCAAGAACTACAGTTTATACATCAAAAATAAGGACAAAATTGCTATTGAATCACTTGTTTCTTCCTCCTTTGAAAGAATCCCACCTTGGTTTGTGTTCTCAAATCCCTAGAAAAATAAACAACATGTATTATTAATATTTTCAAGTATTTGATAAGATTTCAGATTCTTTGCTATTAATTAAATTTCCCTCAAGCTTTTTTTTTGTATATCCAAGCTTTCTCTACAGCCTGATAGTGATTAAACCACTTCTTTCTCTTATTTCTTCTAATATTCTTGCAAGCTTCCCATTTCTATTTTGCTGTTTATTTTTTAAGGGTTTGACTTAGAGTGACAGTGCTTTTACTTGGCCTGATTTATCTCTCTTGCTCTTCTATCCTAGTTTGTAGTGATCTTTTTTTGCAGCTTCTACATAGATCCTTTCTTTCTCACCACTTAATGAAACAACATACACACCCAATTTGCTACTCTCCTTTTTTCTTTGTCATTTCTGACCAAATCAAATAAGATGCTCTTTGGAAAAAAAAAATTTATATTCAATAGAAAGTCTTTCTCAAACTTTTGCCATAAATACACACAGGCGATTTTCTCTTCTTTGCATGTGTTTTCTTGTGAGGAAGGTTGAAAGAAAGAGAAATGTGTTTGCTGAATGCCATCCTAGTTAATCTGTGGTTGCAGGCAAGGTTTCTAATTCCTTATTTAGTGCCTTCTAATCACTGAATACATCAATAGTTCTTTCAGTTAATGACCTAAAAGTTTATACATGTATAATGGCCATCCAGTCTTTCAATATGAAAATTGACTTGTAAACATATCATCCTCCGTCTTGTCTAATCATAAGTCAAAATGTCAGATTGGAAAACTTTTTGATAAATTCCACACTCTTACTTATGTCATTCCACGTTACGAACAAATCATCATCATATCTTTCTTACTATATATAAACTTGATTTTACTCTAGACTCGTAAAGCATTCTTTCTCTTACACACTAACCATTGACTCATCCACAAATCCACTATTGGGAAATGTATAGGCATTCTTTTGTTCTGTTTGAAATATTTTTTCTTAGCTGAGAGTATTAATTATGGATAATTATAAAGGCATATAGAACTGATCCGATAATTTAAATGTCAAATAAACAGTCATATTCTTTATTGGGCTACACCAAAAGTGGGTGAATTTTTTCTTTTTTCCTCTATTGGTGTGGTCGTCCACTCTGTTTTGACTTACCTTCAATAACATAAATTCTTCGGCACAAGATTATCTGTTTTGTTGAAATCTGGTTCTTCGTTTTAGAATCGTTTTTAGGTCAATCACTTCTTGACTGCTCATAGCACATTTCATACTTCTCTAAGGCCCCCCAAATAATCCTCTCATTTATCTTTGTCATTTCCTTAGTCTTATCAGTCCAATATTCACTAATATTACATTGTTTTTTTCTCATCTAATTCTTAAGATTACTGATTAACCTTTTAATTTCTTTGAGTGTTACTTTTTTTTATTTATATTCTTGTATTTTATTTATTGGATTAATATTGCAAATTTCCACAAGCTTCTGGGATTGTTACGTTTTCTGTTTTGCTTTGTACATTTCTGCACTAACATTCCATACGTGTGCTTGATTTCTCAACAATTCTGTAAAGTTGCTTGATATGTTTCTTCCTCAATATGACAATATTAAAGTAATAATAATATATGAGTAGTTTCTAGTTTAATTTTAAGATAACTTGAATTATGAATTATTTTTTTATGAGAAATATCATCAATGTTTAAACAAAGAAAACAAAATTTATTTTTAATTTAATAGGGAGAGTGGCAGGAAATGAAATGTGCGAGGGATAACATGGCCCAAGTATTGAGATGTTTGAGAGTTTGGTACGATTTATCCCCTAAAATATTGATTTTAGCATTACATACAATGGACAGCTTTCTTGCCAAAATTAAAGTAAGTATTTTTTTTTTATTTTAATATTTCACACATTTGTTTTATGACACTAATTATATAATTTTTTTATTTAGGTACAAGCTAAACATGTGCCTTGTATTGCATTAAGTTGTTTTCATTTGGCTATGGAATGGTCTGAAGAAGGCATTATGATTACTTTGTCTGAATTAGTCACTATCAGTCAAACTCGCTGTAGTACTCATGATCTTTTGCGTATGCAAGGAATAATACTAAGCAAGTTAGAATGGAAACAGGCACCTCCGACTTCTTTCACATTTTTAGAATTATTTCATTCTCTTCTGAACCACGCTGCTCACATTGCCAAATTATCTTGTGAGGAAGTGGTGTCGGGACTTTTACCTCTTGAACTGTGTACTCAAAGATTGGAGGTACTCATGTGCAGTCATAAGTGTTCAAATTTAAAAGTAAGTATTAAAAGCAATAAAATCAAACTGCATTTTTAATTTTAGAAATTATTTTTTACATTGTTACCTCTAACTGAAGCAGGCTACATTCTTAAAGCATTAATTTATGAACAGAAAAGTATTCAATCCATTAAAATTCATGCACTTGTATTATACCTTATGGATTTTAAATGGAGTATTCATTCTTAAGACTTCATATCTTTATAAAACAGTTATATTAATATACTTGTAATGTTATAAATTTATATAAAATAAATCTATTTAAAAAGTAATTTAGCATAATGAAAATTTAACAGCAAAATTGTTTTTGGCTTTTGTAATATGAAACAAAATATATTTCTGCATAAATTAATTACAGAATGGTCAGTTCATTTGAGAATTAGTACAATGATCCTGCCTATATTAAAACACAAGTTAATAATTCTAAAATTGTCCATATATTTATCTTTTCTTAAGTGGTTATATTTTTAACTCCTTCAACATAAATATTGTTTTTTAGTAATCTATTTTAGAATAATAAATTCTTTGTTAGCTATATTTAAAACAGTTTTAAGATTACTTATCAACAATATAGTTTTAAAATGTTTTGAGTAGGTGGGACGCGAAAGGGGCTAATAAGTTTTCCTGCATTTTAGCTATTCAATGACACCTACACTTGGTTTTGTCGTTCCATTGTCATTGCTCATTAAAAAGATGTTTGGAACATTTTATATTGAGTGAAGTAACTTATAGAGAAATGAAATTGTATAGCAAGAAAGATAATAATGACCGTCGTCCTTGATCTAATTTTTGGAAACCATATAATCACTCTGTAATTTGAAGGGTTCTTTACAACTTTTGATAATAAAGTACTTAAAGCAGTTCTGTACATCATTCATATCTCTGGCTTAAATACATTAAAAAAAATGTTCTAAAAGATTAATTTACAATTCTTAATATATTTTCCGACACATGGATGGAAAGTGCACACTATAACACTTCTTATCTCTAAGTTCATATGATATATTTTGATTGACCACCCTGTGCTTGGTGTAGAAGATAAACTATCCAACAAATTCTCTCAATTATCCAGCATACTTCCAGGAATGCCCTAGGTGGCGTAAAGACTAAATTTCCCTGGACCCCGAGGAAATAGGCGTCCCTACATAATGTTGATAAATAAAAGACAGTACTTGAAAAATATTTACAAACTAAATTTTTAATTTTATAAAAAAAATTTGAATTTAATAATGAACAATTTTTGTGTTAAAGTTAGTTGATTACATTTACACAAATTTATACATATTGTACTACTAATTATTTTTATTTATATATTTTTAATATGTTTAACACATTTTACATTCAGAAATACTACTACTGGGATCTAAAATTTGTTGGGCATGTATATTGATTTCATTTTTTCCATTTTTTCCCTTACTTTGCTTTAATATAATTATTTATATTGCTGTAGGACTCTAATAAGAATCTTTTCTCAGGTCGCCATTACCCTCTGGTTGGCTCTACCTGGTAGGATCACCTGTGTGCTTCCATATCCATGAAAATGTCAGTCACGTCACACTGTTTTCCTGTTTACTCAAGTTTCATTTCCGTATACAGTTATTGCATGTCAGTGTGCCATATTATTTGCCCACCTGCCTGTAAGGAAGTGGTGCCTTCAGTACCAGTTCTTTACAGAGGCAGGTGGGCTTCTTTATGAAGGTCATGTCATTCATTCATTTTAGTAGAGTAACTAGATGTCCCCGATTTCACGAGACTGTCCCCATTTTTGTTTGTTTTTAATATTCGACTGTAGAATGAATCTTTGAATAAAACAATTTTATTAACAGGTTAATATACAATACATATTGAACTTTAATTATTATTATTTTTAATTTATTTATATTAGTTTAGACGCCATTTTCACTGATTCTGAAATATATCCCTGCTTGGAATGTAAGTGATATACAGTCCGTTTCAAAACTATAAACACACCCAACTTTTTTCAATAACAAAAACATTAACAATTGTAATGTATTTATTATATTAATATATAATATTAATATTAATAACGAAAATAAAAATTGGGGAAAAAATAAATATTAGAAGGATTTATGGTATCAAAAGGACTAAGACAGGGATGTTGTATCTCATCAACTTCATTTAAAATCTACATAGAAGAAGTATTGAAAATACGGAAAAGGAAATGTTGTAATATGGGAATAGATATTAACGGTAAACCAATGTTTACATTGCAATCTGCAGATGATCAGGTGATAATGGCAGAGGATAAGGATGATCTAGAATACATGACAAGAAAAATAGAGGAATATTTTAAAGGAATTTATATATAAACATGAATAAAACAAAATATTTATGCATAGGAGGGGCTAAAACAGACATGGAACTGGAAGGAGAAAACATTGAGGGATGTGAACATTACAATTATCTTGGAATACAAATTCATCAAGATGGAAGAGATACATTAGAAATTAATACAAGGTTATCACAAGGTAAGAGAGCAGTTAAAAGATTAAATGGAATATGGTTGAGTGAAGAAATAACTAGATCAAGAAAGAAAAGAATGCTATTGTTAAAAGCATTCTGTTATACAGGGCAGGGGCATGGAGAATGACTGGGGATGAGAAGAGAAAAGTAACAATGATTGAAATGGATGCATTGAGAAGATTGTGCAGAATCTCAAAAAGAGAAAGAATAACTAATGAGGGAATCAAAGACCTAATGGGATTGAAGGAGACGGCTTTGGAAGAAGTAAAGAGGAAACAATTTATTTGGTTTGGATATGTGAAAAGAATGAGTGACGAGAGACTCTTGAAAATGTCAATGGAATACAATACACAAAAAAGAAGAAAGAGAGGAAGACCCAGACGAACTTGGTACGACAGAGTAAAGTTTGCATGTAGTGAAAATGGGATTAAAGAGGAATGGCGTATGGATATAGAGAGATGGAGAGGGTTCCTAGAGATTGAAAGGTGATGTCAGATGCCATAAACCGAATATAGATTAAATTGATGTTGTAAATGATATATTCTAACAGTTTCTGAAATGTTTAGAGCAATCTGACAATTACAAAAAAATTATCACAGATTTTCAATTTTTGATTGTTTCAAAACTATAAACACACATGCACCAAAAAAAAAAAAAAAAACGATTTGTGATGTTTCAATATTTTGTAGGTCCACCATTTGATTTAATTAGTTCAAATACTCTATCAGGCATACATTTTACTAGTTTTTGAAGTTGTTGTTGTTTAAATATTTTTCCAACAATTCATAATAGCTAATTTCAGTTCATATACAGTATTGCATTGTCTGTTTTGGCCATAAACAAGGCGACTCATAATGCCCTAAATATTCTCTATCGGGTTCATATCAGGGCTCCGTGATGACCAATCAATTACATGAATTTTTTTTTTAGCAAACCAATTTTTAGTTGACTTTGATGCATGAATGCTAGCATTATCCTATTAGAATTGCCAGTTTTCTCCCCCAATAAGTGATCCAAAAGTTATTAAATTTTGATACAACAGTTCTTGATACTTTTCTGAATTTATTCTACATTCTATAAATACAATCTGTTTTACCTATTCCATCCAAATCCTGCCCACACCATCACAGATCCTTCACCTTGCTGTCTGCTCATTCTGACTTCTTTGTTCTTCCTCAAATCATGCCAGTAGTGACTATAACCGTCAGGTCCATCCAAATTCCACCTTCTTTCATCTGAGAAGACTATTTGTTTCCACTCCTTTTAATGTCATCTTGTCTTTGGCCCACTTTAATCTAGGTGTTTTGTGCAATTGTGTTAATTTTCGTTTTGCAGCCATTTTTGTGAATTTGGCATTTTTATGATTATGCATACATCTCCATACAGTTGCTGGTGAAACTGCAATTGGCAATGTTCATGCTGCTTCTCTAACAGACAACTTGTTGACTGTCAATAGCTGAAAAACCTTACTTTTGTTTCTAGGTGTAAGGAGTTTAGGCCTTCTGCATCGCTTATTTCTGCCATAATATTCACCCTGAATATTATGGCAGAAATAATTCACCCTGAGTTAATACATTTCTTGCAGCATATGTGGATCAATTTACAGCTGCCAAAATATGTCTTAGAGGTTGTCCTGTTCCTTTTAGTTGGTAAATTTCATGTATTTCCAAACAACATACTAATATAATAAATACATTACTATACTTAATGATGATGTTATTGAAAAATGTTGGGTATGTTTATAATTTCGGAATGGACTGTAGGTCTTAGTCTACCTTTAGGATTATACGCTCACAAATCTGGCACCCCTCTGCAAGAATGGCTGAATTAACAGAAGTCTTTTAATATATTTTGCTAATATATCTTCAAAGAAAGTTATGTTAGATTTAGAAGTTTGGCAATGTTTTTGTGACCAGAAATATAGCATAGGAACTTAACTCTTGTTTCTATCAATGAGCCTATGATAAAGTTGGTTTGGTTTAAAGTTATTATTAATAAAGCCAAATGCTTCTTGTAATTACACTATGTATGTGAACAAGTACAAAAAAAAAAGAAAAAGTAAACTTCAGATACATAAACATATCTGTGTATTTACAGTAAAACATTTTTTCCACTAAACTTTTATTCTAAACACTATATTTTTAAATCTAAGAATACTTTGATAACAGTTATTGTGTTAATAGTTGTATACTCAAGCTTCAAATTAACAAATTAAACTTTATTTTTACAGAGAAGTGCTGTTGCACTTGCTTTGTTGAATTATGTTTTGATTGAGGAAATGCCACCAAGATGGAATTGGTCCATCTATATTAAGGATTTACAAGAGTTTTGTAAGGTAAACAAATGGATTTTTTTTAAAGTATATTTTATTAGCTTTGTTAAACTATAAAAATGTATAATTTTTTAAATATTTCAGATAACTTCTGATGAATTTGAAAAAAGCAAACATATAGTACAAAAAGTGCTGTCTTCGTACGATCACCAGCAGCAGTTACCTCATCATCTCCGTCAGCAACTCAATTGGAAGCTTTCAGTACGAACTTGGAGGCAGTTGCATCTCGCTTTGAGGCGACGGCAGTTCTCCCTTCCACCTCTCGAAGAATGCAATGACGGCTCTAATTGTGAATATTGCAGGTAAGTTGTTTTCGAGGCATCGTTGCCTTTTACGAGGATGGAAAATGCAATGAATTAAAAAAAGATACTTTTGTTTCAGCACTCATTCTGTTTCATCTAACAACGAATGGAAGAAATAGTTCAAAACAAGGATGCTGTTTGCATAATTCTATCCACATATATTGTTAAAAGTGTAAAGTTACTCATTACTAGTTAAAAATCAATGTCATTATCTTAAAGTTGATTTTATCATCATAAATCTAGTAGCATGATGATGTTTTGTGAATATTATCTTTTTATATACAGTATATAGTAATATACCTCATCAATATTTTGTAAATCAGTGTTTTCTCAGGAATATCATCATGTAAAATTTTGTGTGATGTACTTTAAAAGTTTCTTAATTACTACGTGGGAAAATTTTTACGATATATTTCATTATCGCTCGGTTTTATGCAAATACATCTGTGTCAAAAAAAAAAAAAAAAATTCATAAAATACAATCTAGTCAGAGACTGGCCATAATTTAAGGTAAAATTTACCTTTTAAATAACTTTTTTCATTTTCATCGCTTAACTATGGATTTTGTCGTCGTCTTGGGACCAAATTGCAAATGGCATTACTTAAATTACCAGGCGATAACGGAATCTCTTGTTTTTATTTCATCATTTGACTTTTAAGTCTGTCCTCTTTTTAGACCAAAGCGTCATCAAATGACATAGAATTGAATTCTAGCTTCGATTTTTCCAAAGAACTTGTAGAGCATAAACGAAAGAGTCGGACTTTTTATTTCCAAACGGAATTCATCGAGTGCACAGATGTTTTTGCAGAGGACCAGCACGGGCATAATATGCCAAATTTGTACTTGTAAACTCTGTGTACAGTCTTTTAATTTTGAGTGATGAGCATCACCAAATAATAAAATGTATTTGCATCCTGTGGTTTGCAAATTTGCATCCAATAAAAATACAGAAATCTGCAAAAATGTGTCTTGGTTAACTTTCATCTTACCATAATTTCTAATATATACAATACAAAAATGACACAAGTATTGCACATTAATAAAATTCTCACGTATACGTATACGATATAGAATAGAATCTAATTATTCAACGAACAATTGTAACTAAGCATCTAATTTATATTGTTAGTCCGATAAGAACCAAGATTATCGAGCATGCTCTTGTCGGACAAACAGTGCATCTCCGATCGTATTAGACGTAGAAATTTAAAACTTCGGCATGCTATTTTGACCTTTTAAAGGTTCAAAATGTTTTAAAACAATGTGCCATAAAGTTAGAAAGATTTTTCAATGCTCAAACAGTACATTCAGAAGGACTTGGAGCAGAGCCGGCCCTACAATAGGGCGAACGGAGCAGCCGCTCCAGGCGCTAAATTCCAGTGGGCGCCTCAGTACTAAAGAAAATTAAATTAGGGGCAACCAAGTGGGCGCCATAATAGGATCTCGCTCCATCTTAAAACTTGCCTCGGTCCGGCACTGATTATTACATTAAAACCAAACGATTTCTAAATTAATTAACAAACCTGCTATAGCAGTAACCAACGTGGTATGACTACAGTGGCTAGATATTATACAGAGTTTTTCGAAAGAAATGCCCCATAGCAGATTGTGCAAAGAAACTTGTAGACAAAGCATCAGGAGCAAGTGCATGGTACATGGTTATATAATTCATCATTTCGTGTCTGTAATACTGTTAAACGGAAATTAATTACACAAAATTTATATGCGTGCTCGAATCACTTTCGACTAATGTAGGCCCAGTTGTATATTCTGTGACTAATCAGTATGCTGTGAGAATTGTTCTATTCAGTACAGGAAACACTGCCGGTTATTATTATTATTATGTTGGGTTTAGTAGGTAATACTCGGTTTAAACTGGTGGTTGTGTACTATGCCGGACCAGAGTCAAGGCATAGCAACCAAAACAAAACTAAAATTAAATGTGTGTGTCAGTGTCTGTATTAAGGAATTTCCTAACAATATGGCATGTATTCAATATAGTGGCCTTCTGTAGTGTGATGTATGTATTTCTACTCAATTGTAATGTTCCCAGGCTTTTGTGTAGCGTGTGTGGTATCACACCTGTACAGGAGAGAACAACAGGTACAATAACTACCCTATCCATCCTCCACAGATGCCTTATTTCCTGGGCGAGTTCTGTGTACTTGCTAATTTTTTCAGTGCATGTGTTTTGTACATTGTGAGTGTTTGGAATGGCTATGTCTATAATGTATGTGATTTTATTGTGTTTGTCAATGAGTGTGATGTCTGGTCTGTTGTGGTAAATTGTTTTATCTGTGATTATGGCTCTGTCGTAATACATTTTGTGCGTGTTATTTTCCAATACTGTCTGTGGAATATACTTGTAGTATGGTTCGTGGATGTCTGCCAATTTGTGTTTCTTTGCAAGCTCTTGGTGTATTATATTTGCTACTTGATTGTGTCTATGTAAGTAATCTGTCTGTGCCAAGAGCTTGCAACCAGAAGTGATGTGTTGTATAGTTTCTGGCATGATGTGACATTTTCTGCATGTGTCATTTGTGAGTGTTGTATCTTTGAGTATGTGTTTTCTGTAGTTTTTAGTATTTATGACCTGATCCTGTATGGCAATCATGAATCCTTCCGTCTCCCCAAAGAGGCATCCCCGATCTAACCAGCTGTTTGACGCAGTTTTGTCAACAAAATCCTGGGCCAGGTCATAAGGATGCCTGCCATGGAGAGCCTTTTGAGCCCATGATTGCTTAATGTTGTCTATGCTTTTTATATGTTGTGTCATGTCTGTATGTTGTGAGTGTAAGTTTAATGGTGTGTTATTTGAGTCTGCTAGAGTTACTGCTTTATGTAACTGTGATGTTTCTTGTTTCTTGTAGAAAAACTCTCGCAGTGACTGTATTTGTTTGTAGTGAAGGTTAACTATGTCAATCAGGCCACGTCCGCCTTCTTTACGTGGAAGGGTTAATCTTTCTGTGGCGGATTTAGGATGATGTTGTTTATGCTTAGTAAGTGTTGTTCTTGTTTTCCTTTGGAGTTGCTCGAGATCTGTGTGAGTCCAATGTATAACTCCAAAAGAGTATGTGAGTACTGGGATGACATATGTGTTTATTGCTTTAACTGTGTGTTTTGCATTTAACTGTGTTCTAAGTATAGCGTTTAACCTACTTTGGTATTCTTTAATTAATCGTTGCTTTATTTGTGTATGTTCTGTTAGTTTGGCCTGTTGGAATCCTAAGTACTTGTAGAACTCGCCCTCTTCCATGGATTCAATAACGTCTCCATTTCCAAGTGCAAAATCTTCTTTCTTCAGGATTCCTTTTTCTATGTGAAGTTTTTTGCATTTGTCTAGGCCAAACTCCATTTGTATGTCCTTAGTGTATGAATGTGTGATTTGTAGGAGTTGATGAAGTTGTTTTTGTGTGGATGCATAAAGTTTTATGTCGTCCATGTACATGAGATGTGAGAGTGTAAACTGTGTTGTTTTTTCGTGTCTGATATTGTAGCCGTATTGCGTGTTGTTTAACATGTTGGATAATGGATTCAGGGCTAGGCAGAACCAGAGAGGACTCAAGGAATCTCCTTGAAAAATTCCTCGCCTAATGAATATTTCGTTTGTTTGTATGGAAGTGTTACTAACCCTGAGATGTAGTGTTGTTCTCCAGTGCTGCATAGTGTTTTCGAAGAATGCAATGAGTGATGGATGTATTTTGTACATGTGTAGAATATGTAGCAGCCAACTGTGTGGAACACTGTCGAATGCTTTTCTGTAGTCTATATATGCCATGTGTATGTTTCTGTGTTGTTTGTGTGCTTGCCGTAAAATGACTGAATCTATGAGTAACTATTATTATGGTTATTATTATTATTGTATTTAATGTTATTTGATTAAAAGTAACAATTACACGATAGAAAGAACGCGTTTTTTATGTAACAACTATCAAAAAAAGTTCAATTCTCATAACATAAAGAACTATGAAGCTGGCTTCAATAGTTGTAAGTCGACTACGCATATGAATTTTGTGTGATTAATTTCCGTTTGACAGTATTACAGACACGAAATGCTACATCGTACCGGTATAACCAGAACCTATACACTTGCCCCTGATGATTTGCCTACAAGCTTCTCCGCACAATCTATGGCGCGTTACTTTTGAAAAATCCTGTATTTTGTAAATACAGTAATACCCAGATTTACGCTACCCCGGCTTACGCGAACCCGGAGTTACGCGATTTTCAAATCTCGTCGATTCGTCTTTTGTTTGAGCGGCACGCAACTCTTGATTACTCACTCCCCCACACTATTGTTCAGCTTACATGTTCGGATGTGTCGCGCGGAATCCACACATAGCTACAATTTATTTTGTGTTATTTATTTCTGTTTGTTTTATCTACGGAGACTCGAGTAACTCTACTATGTCATCCAAACGAAATAGAACTAATTCTGCATCAAACAAAAAAAGAAAAACTTTATCTTTGGAATGTAAAGTTAACGTTGGGTATGTTCGTATATAGGATTGCATAATTATCGAACGAGTTAAGCGAGAATGAAGTCACCGTTATTCCTATTTCGTTAGACTTTTCGAACGATTCGTTACTAACGCGTTTAATTTTACGAACGTACCCATTATTAAAGACTTCGATACAAAAATGAAAATTCGTGAATTGGCAAAGAAGTTTGATCTACCGGAATTGTTGGTCAGAACAATTATAAAAGGCAAAGAAAAAATTCTCGAAGCTGTGAAAAATGCTCAATCTTTAAATTCAAGCATTATTCGTAAACGTCACAGTATTATCGCTGAGATGGAAACAATGTTAAAATTATGGCGTAATAATCAAGTAAATGTGAAAAATTGTAAAATAATATAGGCCTAATTTGTTATACATATGTATTATCTAAGATTTTATTAAAC